AGCGCCTCTAGCAGCTCCAGCTCCAGCAGCACCTCCAGCAGCACCACCAGCAGCTCCTGCGCCAGCAGCACCAGCACCAGCACCAGCTCCAGCTCCAGGGTCCGCGGCACCAGCAGCAACTCCAACTCCAACATCCTCAGCACCAGCAGCAGCTCCAACTCCAGGGTCGGCGGCACCAGCAGCACCACTCCGGAGACTGCAGCGCCGAGCGTACCACTCTCGGAGCCGCTGGGGAGATGGCGGCTCCCGCCTAGGCGGGGAACCACGAGCACCAGCTCCAGCAGCACCCCTAGCCCCAGAAGCGCCCCTCCTGAGGCTGCAGTACCGCGAGTACCACTCACGCAGCTGCTGGGAAGAGGGAGCGCCTCCAGGCGTAGCACGGTCAGTCGCAGCACCCCCAAGCTCAGTACCCTCAGACGTAGCACTCTCAGGCTCAGCACCCCCAGACTCAGCACCCGCAGGCTCAGCACCCCCAGACTCAGCACCCCCAGGCTCCGCACGCTCAGGCTCAGCACCCCCAGGCTCCGCACCCCCAGGCTCAGCACCCCTAGCAGGACGAGAGTCGACAGCTACCTCGACAGGCTCAGCCGGGTCTACCTGGGACACACCTAAGGGGGGAGGGGGTCTACCACAGCAGCACCTGGTGCGAGGAAGAGAGGCGGGGGGGGGAGCGGGGCAGTGCGCTAGGGGAAGAGGCGGTAGTAGGGGACCGACTCGTCAAAGGTGACGTTCTGAGAGGGCAAGACACGGCGCGAGGTGGCGTGGTAAAACTGCCAACCAGACACGTCCGGGACAAAGCCAAGGAAGACACAAGGAACAGCGCGGGAGGAGAGGTTGTTAGCGGACGTATCGCGGACAAAAGCACGAGATCCCCAGACCCGAAAACGCGACCCATCGCCAACCTTCCCCGTCCACAGCAATGTGGGCGAGGTCTCCGGCAAGGAGACACGGGGCCAGAGGTTGAGCTGATGCGCGGCGTACCGGACCGCAAACGGCCACAGAAAGTGGGGGGCAGCCGCATGGATCAAGGAGGTACGAGGGACCTCCATGACCAAGCCAATGCGGCGCTCAGCAACCCCATTCTGCTGTGGAGAGGCCAGAAGCGTGAACGACTGCTCAATGCCCTCCCCCTGACAGAAGGCCCTCAAGAGGTCGGAGGAAAACTCCCCACCTCTGTCAGAGTGCAGACGCAGGACAGGAAAGTCCGAGTGGAACCTCTCGCTGAGCTGGAGACGGGCAGCGCGGATCCAAGGGATCAAAACATCAGGGACTTCACCCTTGGTGCGCAAGGGGAAGACCGTGGTGTAGCGCGAGTAGTCGTCAACAACTATCAAGAAGTACCTCTCGTGACCCTGTCCACGGACGCGGGCTGGGCCCCACACGTCCATGTGGAGGGTCTGCAGGGGAGCAGTCATCGGGGGAAACGAGGAGGAGTGAGGAGCGGCGCGCTGCCGCCCCTCGACACAGGGAAGACAGGGAGGAGCAGGCGAGGGTGGGAGGGGAGGGAGAACCCTGGGAAGACCAGAGACAAGGTACCGGGAGTGCATGCCACGAAGGCGCTGCACTGACGGGTGACCAAGGCGGTGGTGCCAGAGGACGGTCTCGTGCGCCAGGGAGCGACACGAGCAGGGGGCCGACAGCTGACCTGACGCAGACGCAGACGCAGCTACCTGGGGGGACTTAGTGGTCAGTGTGTACAGGTCCGACCCCGGCTGCCGAGTGAAGGTAGCCAGGTGGCGACCCGTCCGAGCACACGTGCAGTGTGTCACGCGCTCGTAGGCAGGGGTGAACTGGTGGACACCCCCGTCCTGGAGCGCACGACCCGCCACCAAGTTCGTAGAGAACGAGGGGAGGTAGAGACCTGACAGTGTGCCCGACGGGACCGCAGGACAAGGGAGGACAGTGGAGGAGGTCGCAATGACCGGACCCCCAGAGGGGTCAGCGAGGGAGACTGCAACCGGCCGAGCAAGCTGCTCAAGGGCAGTGCGGTCACGAAAGAAACAGCGGGAAGCACCTGAGTCCAGTGTGAAGGTGTGCAGTGCCTCAGTAGACGTAGTACCAGAGGGCGCAGACTCACGAGTACCTAGAGCAGCAGCCTCACCAGCACCTGGGGCAACAGACACACTAGCACCTAGAGCGGCAGCCTCACCAGCACCTGAGGCAACACACACACGAGCACCTAGTGCGGCAGCCTCACCAGTACCTAGAGCAGCAGACTGGATAGCATAGTAGAAAATGCATAGCAGGCGGCACACACAGGTGACAGGCACTCTCAGCACTAGTAGAAAATGCATACATGGCAGTGAGGATAGCATCATAGTCAAGAGCAAAGATATCTACCCTCTGCCTAAGCAGCTCCAGCCAGGAGGGGAGCTCAGCGGCGTCGCCAAACTCTGTACGCCAAGCGTCGCCCAGACGGGCGAAGCAGTGGGACTCTGTGTGACCACGTGTCCCGCAAGGCTGACCAGTCCGGACACCTGTGCGACTGACGTACGGGCAGCGAGCAGTACTCAGTGACCCTCTACTCTTAGCGTACCACTCACGAAGCTGCTGGGGCGAAAGAGCCTCGCGGGGACGACGCTGCAGCTGCACCTGGCCACTACCAGAAGCTCCCGAACTACCCACTCCAGAGCGACTCCCACTACGGCCACCCCGACAACCCCAACGAGCGTACCACTCACGAAGCTGCTGGGGCGTGAGGGACTCACGCGGACGGCCCTGGAGCTGCATCTGGCCACGCCAGGAGCAGCAGTAGCAGCAGTAGCAGAAGCAGTAAGAGCAGTAAAAGCAGTAGCAGCGGTAGCAGCGCAAGCAGGGCAGTGTTCACCAGTGGTGGGAAGGGCAGGCGCAAGACGGCGGCGACAGCGGGGCCGCTACAGCTGCAGGGCGGGGCCGGGCCGCGGCAGGGAGCTCCGCTGCAGCTGCTGCAGGGCGGGGCCAAGACTGCGGCTAAAGGCTCCGCGGCAGTTGCTGCAGGGCGGGGCCGGGTCGCGACGGCAGCTGCTCCAGGGGCGGCTGCTGCAGGGGCGGCTGCTCCAGGGGCGGCTGCTGCAGGGGCGGCTGCTCCATGTGGTCAGGGGCGGCTGCTGCAGGGGCGGCTGCTCCAGGGGCGAGGGGCGTCTGCAGGTGCGGCTGCTCCAGGGGCCAGGGGCGGCTGCTGCAGTGGCGGCTGCTCCAGGGGCCAGGGGCGGCCGTCCCAAGGGCGGGCGCGGGGTAGGGAAGGGCGCCGCGGCTGGCAGGGGCGACTCCGCGCGGGTCCCGCAGGGGCGTCGCGACAAGGCAGGGGCGGCGCGGCTCGGGTGGGGCCGGGCGTTAGCGGGGCTGCAAGGGCAGGGCTACGCGGGGCGGGGCCTGGTCGCGCGGGGCACGCAAGGGCGGGCTAGTGGGGCGGGGCCGGTACGCGAGGGGCACGCAAGGGCGCGCGGGTGGGGCAGGTCCGGTCGCACGGGGCACGCAAGGGCGCGCGAGGAAGGGCGGGGCCGGTACGCGAGGAGCGCGCAAGGGCGCTCAGGGCAGCGAGCGCGTGGGGCCGCACGAGGCACGCAAGGGCGCGCGCGGGGCAGGCGACGCGCGTGGGGCTGCGCGGGTCGCACGCAAGGGCGTGCGAGGAGGGCGAGGTCGATCGCGTGGGGCACGCTAGGGCGTGCGGGCTGGGCGGGGCCGGTTCGCAAGGGGCACGCTAGGGCGCGCTACAGTGCAGATGAGAGGAGGGCGCTCGAGGGCGCGACTAGGCAAGGCGCGCTCGGGCGCGACGAACGGAAACGGTGGGCCCTATCAGTCGGTCCTAGGTTACGACCTAGGCTCGTAATACCATGTTAGAATCTAAGAAAGAACAAGAATGATTGAACTAGGAAGATTGAGGGTACAAGTAGGAAACCCTAGAGTAATGTACCCCCTAAAGGCTAACCCACTGTAGCCTACACAGCAGTAACATGTATAATGTTTGACATCGACCTCTACTGCTGAGGCTGAGATCTACGCTGGAGCCATGGCTACACAGGAGCTGCGCTGGTTGACCTTCTTGCTCACAGACCTTGGTGAGCGGCCGAGCTCTGCACCGACCTTGTTTACTGACAACAAGGCTACGATTCTCCTCTGTCGAGAGCCTCGACTGGAGAGCAGGGTGAAGCACATCAACATCAGGTACTTTCTTCTGCGAGAGTTGCAGAGGCGTGGACAGGCTCGCTTGGACTTTGTGGAGTCCGAGGCCAACACTGCAGACATCTTCACCAAGGCTCTTCCGCCTTTTGACCACCACAGATGTTGTGTGCAGTTAGGTCTCGTTGACATAGATTCTCGTCTTGTGTAGACTTTACTTGTTTTGTTGTACACTTTGCATATACCTCTGTGAACTCTTGGACTGGCCTTGTGGCTCTTTTGCTTGTGCTCGGACTGTGTGGTGAAGTTGTGATCCACCCTGAGCTTTGTTTCTTTGTGACTGGTCTTGTGACCGTACGGTTTTGGTTTTGCTTGACACCCCTCACTTAAGCTATAGGGGTGTGTCAAATGATGTAGCATTTAGTAATGCGTGTCATATGGGGTACAACAGTTAGGTTTAGGTTAATGTACCCCAACCCACAATAGTCAATCATCACTTCAGTTTTTAACACTGCTATCCCTCACTTAGCCTATGGGGGTGTGTCAAAACATGTTTATATGTTTGTTAGGTTTGTTAGGCTGCAGTGAGGTGCACAGTATAGGGTACAACAAATCCAGGGTTTCCTATTTGTATCACCCTGCTGCCTAGTTCATTCATTCCGCTGTTTCACATTCTCACATCTTGGGCTATTTCTGAAGCGTAGGCCAACGCATATAAAGGGTACATGGTTTGACAAAAGCTGGAGAACACCGTTGACCGATAACGGGTGAAGATTACTGGTCGAGCCTGTGAACAGTGTTGTACCGTATGTGATGAAGTCAGGTATGTATGACTGAAGGAATTTAACATTTCCTTACATAGTACAAACAATAACATACCTGCTGTACAAAACAGGGTTTTGTCACACAAGATCACCCAGAGTGGCACTTCTAGGCACCTGAGTTTGCCTCACCGATACCAACCCATGCCGTATACAACTGCGTGCTCTCACATCCTTCCTGTCACCACCCAGATCACCCCCAAGCTTAATCACCGGGCAGGGTGCGTTTCCAGCACAGTGAATTGTGAAGTTGTTGGAGGCAAATTTGCCAGAGAAGTTGAGCGCTTTACACGCATGGGAGGAGGGGAGCAGCAGCAGCTCTGCGTTGATATGCCGACAAAACCGGATCACCGCTTCTGGCTTCGCCTCCCACGAGAGTGCCTGCGACGGCGGTGATTTTTCAGAGGTTTTTCTCGGAGAATCCGAGGGCGGCGATTTCGTGGATAGGGTGGGACTAGTGTCCCGTTTTCTGCTGCCGTCCGGCTCCCCTGCGATGTCTGAGAGGTCGATAGCCTCGAACCGAATCTGCAAACGCCAGGGGGAGAGGAGGAAATGTGGAGATGACGCCGCAGAGTATGAGAGCAAGCATGGAGCACATGTGTGCAAGGCAGGCCCTCAGAAGCCGTGCCACCATGCACCGCCTTCATCAGGATCCCTCGCATCTCGCATTGCCTTGCAGCTTGTTATTCCCATCACCATCACCCTGCATGCCCCTCAAGTTGCACGCCCCCGACTCGCGGATTCGAAGGCGCCTGAACAGTGAAAGCCCCAGCGCCCTCGCCAGACAATCTCCGCTTTGCACGCCCTGCCACCCCACGTGGAATCCTCCCTCAGCGCGCTCACTCTGCACTCCCTACCAACCCTACCTTCCTCCTCCTCCCTCACCTTGCACGCGCGCGCAACAGCCGCCATGCGCATGACCGCGCGCTTGGTGCGCCGATCCCACGCCGTCCTCTCCGCCAGCGCGCGCCGAACCTCCCGCTCCGCCATCAGCGCCATCACCACCACCGGCGCCGCGTCTGCGCGCCCCGCCTCTTGCATCTGCCGCACCACGTTTGAAGGGTTTAGCTGCGGTCGCCACAGCTGGTGGCGCGGTAGGTCTGGGCGGGAAGGGGAAAGAGGAGAGGAAAGGCAGAAGGGAAAGGGGAGAGGAAAGGCAGAAGGGAAAGGGGAGAGGAAAGGCAGAAGGGAAAGGGGAGAGGAAAGGCAGAAGGGAAAGGGGAGAGGAAAGGCAGAAGGGAAAGGGGAGAGGAAAGGCAGAAGGGAAAGGGGAGAGGAAAGGCAGAAGGGAAAGGGGAGAGGAAAGGCAGAAGGGAAAGGGGAGAGGAAAGGCAGAAGGGAAAGGGGAGAGGAAAGGCAGAAGGGAAAGGGGAGAGGAAAGGCAGAAGGGAAAGGGGAGAGGAAAGGCAGAAGGGAAAGGGGAGAGGAAAGGCAGAAGGGAAAGGGGAGAGGAAAGGCAGAAGGGAAAGGGGAGAGGAAAGGCAGAAGGGAAAGGGGAGAAGAAAGGCAGAAGGGAAAGGGGAGAGGAAAGGCGGAAGCGGGCGCTGTCAGGACGAGGCGAGAAGAGGATGGGGTGGGGAAGAGCGAGGATGGCGAGGATTTGGAAGAAGTTGAATCATGACGCTTACTTAGCCTGGGCGGCGTGACGCTGACGTCGCCGCCATCGTCGCCGCCGGACGCGGAGGTCGACCGGAGCTTCGAGCTTCCCGCGGCCAGAGGACTCAGGAGCGCAGATAAGATGGACCGCGGGGTCGACGGCGACGCGGGGCTGTTTTCCGATTGGCTGTCGCTCGATTTGTCGCTCAATCTGTCGTTTGACCCGTCGCGAAGCTTTCCAGTGCCACGTGTCATGATGCTAATGGGCGTGTGGTTCGCGTGGTGGAACACCACCACAAGGCGGTCCGTGGGTTTGAGTTGAAACTCCGTAGAAGAAGCGGCGAGATTCGCGGGGAGGAATGATTGCGTTTTGTGGCAGGAGGCAGCGAGGGAGTCGAACGCGTTTAGGCACGACTTGCAAGTGTCTATAGCGAGTACGACCGTCCGCTCCTCGCCCACGCTATAGAGAGTATCGAGCTTCTTCGTATCGGAGTGAAACGGCGGCGCCATTGTTCCTGAATATATTTTCTTGGTTCGCGATGCGAGGCAACCTTCAGGGTCTCTATTCGGATCCTTGAGGATTTAATACGTAATGCGACCTGCTAAACAATAAGTAGCTTGTGTAGGTGGTACTTCCGAGATGTTGTCTGAGCGAGTCGGATTCCAATCGACGCGTTGCTGAAAAGCGCTTCGAAGGCCGATACTGACAAGAATCGGCAACTCAATCGAGGTTACGGAGCAGGCAATCTCGAGGTCTTATCTTCGGGGCCCGAAGTCCCGGGACTTCGCGGGACGATGCGAGTGTGTTTTTGGAACGACTCGGAAGACAATGCTCAGAGAACAACGGAGCTCGCTTCTTTTGAAAGCTGGGTCGATTGAGCACCGCGACGCTGTCTCTTATGTTCAGGGTGTGAGTGGTGCGAGGAGCTAGAAACGTCAAGGAAACGCACGCTTGAACGAGGACTGTACAGTTGCCACGATTCATGGTCATAACTCATGGGTCCTCACTTCCCACAGCACTAGCCGTTGGTCAGAAGGGACAGTCGTCACCCCGAATGGTGAGCTGCCCGGCACGGACCGCAAATGGCTGTTACTGAACTGCAGAGAAAGCAAGCTGGTGCTGCGCTGCTAGGGAAGGGACGGGAGGAAGGGCCGTTCGACTCGCTGACAATGCTGATAAGATATGGCTGGCAACGGTGGCAAGCACTCGGAAAGCCGCAGACGAAACAGACAGTCGTCTAGGCTGGTTTGCCGTTTCTTTGCCGGAATTTACATTGGAGAGCGCCGCTTGCTCTGCTTGCTGCTGTGGGAAGGGAATGCTTTCACAAGCTTCCAGCTGCAGCGAGAATCATGAACCACGCTCCTGCTGGTGGATTGAACTGTATGTGAATCTGGTAGCAACTTGGAATCGGTTGGGTTCTTCATGTTTGAGAACGGTTTTATACGGCTCGTTGTAATACAGTACGCTTCACCGTGGCTTCTGCTTGGTTTGATTGCAAATGGGAGCAATTCAGCAAGTGTGGGTTCGTTGGGGGGTAGGAAGTGTGCATCAACGAGGTTGCTTGCGATTGCTCTGATTGGTGGATAGAGTGGGCTGGCGGCTGCGCCTCGGATTCAAGATCTACTGTTTTCGGTCGTTAATTATTTTCGCAGGTAATCGATCGGTTCGAGGGGCATCAAAGGTATTCATGCCAAAGTTAGTCAAAGCCTGACTGTGGTCCCTTCCTGAGTCTCTCCCGGCTTCCAGTTGCGTCCGTTGTTCTTACTCGAACAGCAGTTTCCTTTCTCGGCCAGCCGATTGGTCGACTAGTTCAACAGTCCCTTCCGCTGACGGATTTCTAGCAAAACGGAAAAGTGTTGCTGGCTGTTTCTGCCGAACCACCTTCTGCTGAAGCGAACTCGGTACAGCGTAACGTTTGAGAAAATCTTTGACCAACCTAACAACCCTAGTCCTAAGAAGAACAAAAGATTATCACTGCCATAACTGTACTTTATTTCCGCTACCCAGATGACCCACTAGTACCTTACCCTCACCATCTTGGGCTTTCTTGCACCAAATTATTCCACTGTACCACGGTGGCTACTAATATACTGGTGAGAGCTACCGACTAGCATAGTTTCAAACTACGTACGAACTGTACATATGCACCCAACACTTTCTATTACCATGTGTGGTTCTTTGTAGTGGTGCCTGTCTACACTACAACAACTCTCTTTTCTACAGGCATTAAATGCAGACATTTATCTGGCCACACCCATCTACTGTACAGCATATCACTATTCACACCTAGAGGTATAGTGTACAGAAAATGCCGCATGGTGAACTGCCTGCGTGCATGTCCTACCGTAGAAAATACAGTCCATCACCAACACTTGTCACTGGCGTTTCTCTGCAGCACCTCAGCTGCCATAATTGGTGAAACAAATCAACCATCACGAGCCCTGGTTGTCAGGGCTCGCCATCTTGTCAAGGAGTGTATTTCTATCCCGAACCGCAGGAGCAGCCGGTACGAATCTATCGTTCTTCGTCTTGCTGCGTGCAGCCACGGCACCACCACCCAGCATGCCGAGCACCTCTCTGCCGCCCACCAAGAGAGCCGCATGCCGCACCGCCTGCAGCAGCCTCCCATGGGTGGCGTCGCTAATCGTACCCGTCCATGTCGATTAAGCTCCGTGAACTACACCAATCAAAAGCTATTGGATGCCAGGACTCGGTGGTAAGAGAGTGTCTTTCTCATCCCCAACCCCAGGAGGAGCTGGTCAGAATCTCTCGCTCCTGGTCTTGCCGCCAGCACCCACAGCACCACCGCCCACCATGCCGAGCACCTCCCTATCGCCCACCAGGAGAGCCGCATGCCGCACGGCCTGCAGCAGCCTCTCATGGGTGGCGTCGTTATCACGGCCTGACAGCACGCGCCCGTGGGGGTCGCAGTGGAGCACCCCTGCTGCCAGCATGTCTCGGAAGAGTGTGAGGGCGAGCTTTGGCTGGCGGCAGTGCAGGAGCGTGCGGATGACCGTCGTGTAGTTGACCTGCCATGCATGCAAGAGGGCAGAGGCGAATGGACACAAGTTGGGGAGAAGGACTATTGACAGCTTGGGCTGATGGTAGCGCAGGAGAGTGCGGATGACCGGGTAGTCCCGCAGAGACCCAGGCTTGTCCAGCATGGTGCATGAACGTGAGGTCCCACAGGTCCTAACTCATGTAGCATGGGCGCCACTCTTCACACTCCTTCGTGTTGCTGGCGAGTTTTGACAGGTCTCAAACATTGCCTCCTTTTACCCCCCCGCACGTCTCTTCCCTGCACGCCTCACCTTATCCATCACTGCCCCTCTGCACACCTCAGCTTGTGATGGAAACCTGGGTGGTCCCGCAGAGACCCGAACACGTCCAGCATCCCTCCCATCTCCCCCCCCCATGCCTCACGTCTCCCCTGCACCCCTCACCGCCCCTCTGCACGCCTCACCTTATCATGATAGCCCGGGTAGGCCTGTAGAGACCCAAAGACGTCCAGCATCTCGTCCCACATGTTTTCTCCTCTGCAGCAACCATTCCCGCACGCCTCACAGTCCCTTATCCTCCCCTCACCTTGTCATGATAGCCCGGGTAGTGCTGTAGCGACCCGAACACGTCCAACATTTCATGCCACATGCTTTTCCTCTGCAGCGCATGCAGCAGCGTCCGCACCACTGCTGGCGAGGGGGGGGCGTGTGGGTGTGCTCCCAGGCAGCGCCGGAACCACGACACAGCCTGGCAGAGGGTGGGAGAAAAGAGGGGGGAAGGGGGGAAGAGGGGAAGGTGGTGGCGGAATCGGAGGGGGGGGTGGGTTACAGTCAGGGGTACGGAGTGCAGCAGCGCCCCCACCACTGCTGGCGAGGGGGGTGCGTGTGGGTACGCTCCCAAGCAGCGGCGGAACCATGACACGGCCTGGCAGAGGGTGGGAGAAAGGGGGGTGGGGGTGGTGACGAGAGAGCGATGAGGACGGGTGGTGACGGCAGAGAGAAGAGGAGAAGAGCAGCTGCGGCAGGGAGAAAAGGTGGCGGCTGCGGTGGTGGCAACAGCAGCAGAAGTGGTAGCAGCAGCATTAGCTGCATTAGCACCACTAGCACCACTAGCACCACTAGCAGCACTAGCACCACTAGCACCACTAGCACCACTAGCAGCACTAGCAGCACTAGCACCACTAGCACCACTAGCACCACTAGCAGCACTAGCAGCACTAGCACCACTAGCACCACTAGCAGCATGCTTCTGACCTGGTGAGGTCGTCTGCATCTTAGCAGCAGCTGCAGCACCTCCTCTAGAGCCCGCGGGTCCCCCAATACACCTGGTGCTGCAGCAGAAACAACAGCATGGCACGCACCCTCTTGCATCTCACCTGGTGAGGTCGTCTGCATCTTAGCAGCAGCTGCAGCACCTCCTCTAGCGCCCGCGGGCAAGTAAAAATGCAACCCAGTAAAGTGTAGGCGTTTCACCCTCTTGCCCCTCACCTGGTGGGGTCGTCTGCATCGCAGCAGCAGCTGTAGCACCTCCTCTAGAGCCCGCGGGCCCCCCAATACAGTCACATCCGCAGAAATCCACTCCCGCAGCAAGAAGACGAAAAAGTCCGCCTGCCTGTGCGCTGCTGCCGCCCGCAGCACGTCCAACAGTGCGCCGCCCGGAACAGGGATGTTGGCACGTGAGAGGCAGTGGAGGAGAGTCGAGGCCTGGCAGTGGTAAGGGATAGGGGGCGGCAGGGGGGGAGGGCTTTATAGACGTCTCAATAGTTGCCCGGCATAGGGAGGTTGGCATGGGAGAGGCAGTGGAGGAGAGACGAGGCCTGGCAGTGGTAAGGGATAGGGGGAGGCAGGGATGGGGGGTTGGGAAAGGAGGGAGGTCAGTCGGAGGGAATGGAAGCCTCTCTGTCCCCCTGCTGTCCCTTTTCCCCTCTCTCTTACCTCTTAGAAAAACCAGAAAAAAACACTTATTTCACATCTCCTTACCTCGTCCCTCTTCCCTCTTCCCTTACCCCTCTCCCCCTTTCACCCTCCCCTCTTGGCCTCACCCGTTCCTCCCCTTCCCCCTCACCTCTTCTCGAAGCCCTTGTCTCGCATGTGCCAGCAGCACAACCCGAGCCATATCACCAGCATGCAACCACCCCTCCTGCACCGCCTCCCCCACCACCCCTGCTGCCACCCTCAACGCCCAATCCTCCTCCTCCTCCTCCTCCTCCCTCTCCTCTCCCCCCTCCTTTCCATCTCTCATCTCTACATTTTCCCCTTCCACTGCCCCTCTCCTCGCCTTCCCCTCCTCCCTTTGCACCGTATCTCCCCTCACCCTCCCCTCCCCCACGAGAGCACCAATCGGAGCACAGCAAGCAGCAGCAGGGGGCTCCTGCCCCTCTCGCCTCAGCAGCCGCAGGAGGTCCAATGAGAATGCGACACGTGACATGTCCACCGGATTTATTGGCCCGGAAGCGGAGCCCGAGCCTGAGCAGCAGGCTTGGACGGTCCAGGAGATCAGGTTGGTTCGGTGGCGGTGGAAGAGGGGGGAGGAGAGAGGGGAGGTGAGAGGGGAGGTGAGAGGGGAGGACGTCAAAGCGTCACCTACAGGACCATCTGCTGTTGATGCTGGCTCTTGTGCTGGTGGTGCTGATGGTGTTGCTGCTGCTGCTGCTGCTGCTGCTGCTGGTCCTGTTGCCATTGCTCGGTCTGTTGCTGCTGGTGGTGGTGCAGTAGTGGCAGCAGCAGCAGAGGAGACGGGGGAGGGGAGGTGGAGCGATGCCAGGCGGATGAGGTGGGAGAGGAGGCGTGCAGGGGAGGAGAAAGGGAGGGGAGGCGGGCCCACGAGCGAGTGAGTGAGAATGTGAACCGTGTCCTGTGCGTGGGGGGGAGAGAGGGGAAGGGAGGGAAGATAGCGAAGAAGGGAACGAGGAAAAGGAGGGGAGAGGGATGAGATTGTGGAGGGGGGAATGGGATGGTGGCAAGTGCATTTTGACAGCTGTGCGATTGAGAAACGCATGCACATACACCGTTTGCAATGCACCTGGTTGGGCAGCTCGCCCCGTCGATGCATTTCAAGCAGCAACCCATCCACCTCCTCCACCATCGCTGCTGCTCCTCCTGATGATCCACCTGATAATGATGATGCCGACGCTGCTGCTGCTGCTGAAGTCGTTTCAGGCCCACTCCCCCCATCGCCCCCGTCGCCCCCGTCGCCCCCGTCGCCCCCGTAGCCCCGCTGGCAGCACGCAACAGCCTCGCGGATGGCCTCATTGAGGGCCGCAGCAGACAGAGCAGCGCCGGCACCCGCCAGGCGCCACAGCATGGCCCGTGCTGTGGGCAGCAGGGGCGACGCGGGGCCTTGGTGGTGTGCGTGGTGCGTTGAGGCGATGCGCAGGGCTGAGAGGAGGGACTCACAGGAGGCTGGGTCCGGGAGGATGCCTTGTGCCTGGTGGAAGGACGGGCAGGGAGAGAGGGCAGAGAGAGAGGGTAGGCAGGAAAGGGGTAAGCAGAGAGGGGATGCGCGAGACAGGATGAGAGGTTGGGGAAAGCAGGATGACATGATGTGACATGAAGCCACACGACACGACACGACACGACACGACACGACACGACACGACACGACACGACACGACACGTCACGTCACGACACGACACGACACGACACGACACGACACGTCACGACACGACACGACACGACACGAAACGACACGACACGACACGAAACGACACGACACGAGGCGACAGCACAGCAGGTGAAGAGTCTACCGCGGCCAAAGAGCCCCACAAGAGTCGAATCGAGTCACTCACCAGTCGCATCTCAACCATCCTGACCTGCTCCGCCACCCCCACTGCAAACGCCTCCCTCTCCTCCCTCTCCTCCCTTTCCTCCCTCTCCTCCCTTTCCTCCCTCTCCTCCCTCTCCTCCCTCTCCTCCCTCTCCTCCCTCTCCTCCCTCTCCTCCCTATCCTCCCTCTCCTCCCTCTCCTCCCTCTGCCTTCTCTGCTCCCTCTGCTCCCTCTGCTCCCTCTGCTCCCTCTGCTCCCCCACCCCCTGCTCCCCCAAGTCTGTTTCCCCCGCGCCTGTTGCGCCCACACCACCTCCAATCTCCCTTGCACCCTCCTCTTTCTCCTCTTCCTCCCTATCCCCTCTTCTTTCCGCCCCCCATCTGCCTCCTTCCGGCCCCTCCCCCAAACCGCCCCTGACCGCCCCCCTCACTCTTCCCTCTTCATCCCCCCCAGACCCTCCTTCTCCCCCCTCTTCACCCCCCACAATCCCCCTCTCTCGTCCCCCTTCAACCCCCACTTCCACCCCCTTATCTCGCTCCACCACTTGAGTCCACGCCTCATTAACGCTCTTCACCCTACCTCTCCCCTTCACCCACCTTTCCACTGCTACCCCCCTCTCCCTCTCCCTCGCCTCCCTCCACTCTGCGTTCACAATCAACTGTTTCGCTGCCCACTCTGCCTGTTCAGCTGCCCGCCGGGCAGTTTTCGCTTCCCAGGCAGCCTGCCGGGCAGCAGCACTGGCCTGTAAAAGTGCTTCCATCCGATTGGCCAGCTCCTCCCGAGCCTCCGCCGAGCCTAGCACGGCCACCGAGCCTCCCTCCCACTTCTCCTCCTCGCGTCTCTCGTCCGGCCGAACCACTCCAATCAACTGCTGCTTCAGAAGCTCCATTCTCCCAGAAGCACCAAGGCCAGCACCCCTTCCATCCAATCCCTCCTCTGCCTCCTCATCCTGCTCCCCTTCTACTCCTCCTCTTCTCCCTTCAGACCCCTTCGCTCCTCCCCCCTGCTCCCTCCCCTTCCGTACATACTCCATTTCTTCTCCCTCCTGTCTGCCCCTCCCTTCATCCCGCTTCTCTGCTTCTTCTCTCCCCTCCCCATCTCCCCCCCTACCAACCAACCGCAAGCTCCTAGAGGCAAAGAAGAACGGTCTAGCAAGTGGAGAGGGCAGAAGGAGGGGGGTGCTGCCCTGAGCCCTCTGCATGCACTCTGCGATCTCCACGCTCCATCTCAGTCGATCAACGGCCCACGGCTCTCCGATCAGCAGCACTGCCATATTCTCCAGAACCTCTCGAGCACGCGTGGATAACGCTGACCTGGCATGCGCAGACGACGCTGAGCTGGCACACGGGGCCGCCGCAGACGTAACCCTGTCCGACGTAACTGCATCAGGTATAACCGCGCCAGCTGTCGCCAGTTCATCAGACACGTGGGGCTCTGGTGGCAGCTGAGTGGCCTTAGAGGCAACAAAGGCAACAAGCACCGCCGGGGAGGGGAACGGCTGGTTGGGGCCGCAAGCGCCGTTCAGCACGAAGAGTAGAGAGCTCTGTAAAGGGAGCTCGGGAGGGGGAAGAGGGAAGAGAGGGAGTGGGGGGGGGGGGGGGGGGGGGGAGGTTGAGGTGAGGAGGAGTGGGGGGAGAGGGTGCAGTGCACCAAGAAGGTTGGCAGATTTAGGGCGAAGCGGGTGGCAGGCACAGAGGCATTGGGTTTAGGATCAGTGAAGTAGAGTTGCCTATCACATACCCATGATGCCTATCACATACCCATAATGCCTATCACATACCCATAATGCCTATCACATACCCATAATGCCTATCACATACCCATAATGCCTATCACATACCCATAATGCCTATCACATACCCATAATGCCTATCACATACCCATGACGGGATGACGTTATGACTGAGCATGTCACCAAAAACAGCTGCCAAGTCATCAGCTGCTCCCCGCCTGCATGCTGACATCAGCACCAGATTGAATGGAAGCACGTACCCTCCCGTGAACACTGTAGCACTCTCATTACTATCACTCTTGTTACTGTCACTGCCACTGCTGTCAACTCTACCGCTGCCCCTCCCTGTACTGTCACCCTCTCTAGTGTCACTGACACTACTGTCAACCCCCCCATCAGGAGTCGCAGCATAACGACTCATGCTCCGCCCCCCTTGCAGCTCCTCCCGCCCCTGCTGCACCGCTCTCAGCTCCTCCCACCCCTGCTGCACCGCTCTCAGCTCCTCCCACCCCTGCTGCACCGCTCTCAGCTCCTCCCGCCCCTGCTGCACCGCTCTCAGCTCCTCCCACCCCTGCTGCACCGCTCTCAGCTCCTCCCACCCCTGCTGCACCGCTCTCAGCTCCTCCCGCCCCTGCTGCACCGCTCTCAGCTCCTCCCACCCCTGCTGCACCGCTCTCAGCTCCTCCCACCCCTGCTGCACCGCTCTCAGCTCCTCCCGCCCCTGCTGCACCGCTCTCAGCTCCTCCCACCCCTGCTGCACCGCTCTCAGCTCCTCCCACCCCTGCTGCACCGCTCTCAGCTCCTCCCGCCCCTGCTGCACCGCTCTCAGCTCCTCCCACCCCTGCTGCACCGCTCTCAGCTCCTCCCGCCCCTGCTGCACCGCTCTCAGCTCCTCCCGCCCCTGCTGCACCGCTCTCAGCTCCTCCCGCCCCTGCTGCACCGCTCTCAGCTCCTCCCGCCCCTGCTGCCCCCCCTTCAGCACCTCCTGCCCTTCCTGCCCCTGCTGCCCGTGCACTTGAGTCCCCTCCCGCTCCAAAGCGCTTAGCATCATCCGGTAAACTTCTTTCAGCTGCCCGTACTGCCCGGGGTCGCGCAGGGCAGAGAGAACACGCCCCCATGCAGCAGGAGGGGGCGGAGGGGCGGCGGGATCCGCCTGATGGGAGGGGGGGGAGAACAGGGTTTGAGAAAACAAGAGCGCAAGGAGGGAGCACGAAATCAGATATCAAGAAGGGCAAAGAGAACGCACGGCTATGCGCCAGGAGGGGGTGGAAGGGCGGAGAGATCCACCTGATGGGAGGGGGGAGCGCAGGGGGACGAAGAAGCAAGTGAACAGAACTAGCTGGTTCTTCAAAAACTCTTCATACCAGCAAGCGAGCAGCACTGCACTCACCATTTGCTCTTGAACGAACAGCCAAGCCTCTTCTGGATCCACCCTCTTCCACACCACCTCACTCCCCCTCCCCTCCTCTTCCCGTTCCCCCTCTTGCGCCCACTCCCCCATCCCCGCCTCTTCCGCCCCCTCACTCCCCTCCTTCCCCACTCCCCGACCAATCCCCATCACCGGACTCAACCGCTCTCGATCCCCTCGCAGCCTCGCCCGCCTCTCCCCCATCAGCTCCCAAGTCTGCTCCACTCTCTGAGCCGCCCCCTGCCTCCTCCCCCCCGCTCCCCCCCTCTCCCCGCCCCTCTCCCCGCCCCTCCCCCCCTCCCCCTGCGCCAGCTGCGCCCATCTCTCCGCCAGCTCCCCCTCCTCCGCCCTCTCTAGCTCCTCCAGTGCACTCCGCACTCTCTCCCCCACCCTCGCCCACTCCCGCCCTCCCTCCCTTCCTCCCCCCCTTCCTCCCCGCCTGCCTGTACCTCCCGGCCGCGCCTCCCTGCCCTCGGCGCCACTCTCAGGGTCCCACACCACGCCCCAGTAAGTGCTCTGCACATAGTCCCCAATCCTGTCGCCGACCCTGTTGCCAACCCTGTCGCCGACCCTGTCGCCGACCCTGTTGCCGAACCTCTGGCCTAACCTGTCGCCTACCCTGGTGCCTACCCTGTTGCCTACCCTATCACCCTCCCCTTCCCCTGCAACAGCATCATTCTCCACAGCCTCTGCTGCAGTCACATTCGTTGTAGTGTCATGCACCACCTCTGCCTCTCCTCCACCCGCCTGCACTACCATCTCCTCAGGTATAGCATCAGTGTCTGCGGCCTTATTCCCCTCAGCCTTCGTTGTAGTACCATCCACGACCACCACCTCTGCCTCTCCTCCACCCGCCTGCGCTACCATCTCCTCAGGTAAATCGCCCTTTGGTGACGCCTCTGCTACAGCCGTCTCTGCTACAGATGCCTCTACGTCAGTCTCGTTACTACCCACAGCAGCCTGTACAGCACCCTCTGCTACAGCCTCCTCCGCTACAGCCTCATCCGCTACAGCCCGCTCTACTACAGCTGCTTTCGCTACAGCCGCCTGCACTGTATCTCGTTGATCCTCACTGCCGCCCACAACTGGCCTTCGCAGCGAGGGCCCACCAACGGTGCTCTCCCTCCCTCCCTCTCCACCCCCCCTGCCGGCCCCACGGCTCCCCCCAGCCCATCCCATCACCAGCCTTCGCTCTGCCAGACTCTCACTGCTGCTGATGTTATTGTTGTTGCTGCTGCTGCTCCTGCTGATGCCACTGTTGCTTCCATTTGCACCACTTGCACCTCTTCCGCTCTCCCCTCCATTCCTCACTACTGACCCCTCGCCTTCCCGTCCTGTCCTTTCCATCTCTCTCTCCCTATCACTTTCTGCTGCTGGCACCACAGCTGGCACCACTGCTGGCACCACTGCTACATCAACTGCCGCTCCTTCCTCTGCTGCTTCTGCGACTGCCACTGCTGCCGCCCCTACCTCGACCCCTGCTGCTGCCAGCACTGGCAATCTCACTCTCTCCATGGCCTCCCCTTCCCCGATCCTCACTTCCACCACTGCAGCCCCCACATTCTCCCGCTCCTCCCCCTCCTTTTGCGTCGACTCAAAAGTCGCCTCCCCTATACCGCCCCTTACTCCCACCACTGCAGCCCCCACTGTCTCCCGTTCCTCCCCCTCCTGCCCTCCTCTGCCTCCCCGCCCTCCCTCCAACCCCCCCTTCACCTCTGCTGCTCCCACTTCCTCCCCCTCTCCATTCCCTACCCTCTCTTCTTCCACTCTTCCTCCCTCCCTCTTGTCTCCCTCATCTCCCCCCGCTCCCCTCTCCCCCTCCTCTCTCTGTGCTTCCTCCACCGCCTCCTCCATCCCATCACTCGTGCACACCGACTGCCCCAGCACGTCCCGTGCAGCCTCACCCTCATACTCTCCCTCTGACGCCTCAACGCCTCCACCACTCACAGCCTGCTGCCCTGCTGCCTGCACACCCACAGCCTCCTCTGACGCCTCGCTCCTTCCACCACCCACCACCACCTCTGGCAATCCTGCTGCCTGCACGCCCACAGGACCCACCACCCTCGCTGCTGCTGCTGGCACACACACAGCCTCCTCTGCTGCTGCCTGCAGACCCACACGCTCCTCGGACCATCCGCTTCCCGCCGCAACCACCCCATGCCCATCACTCTCCACCACGCCACCGTCCAACTTCTCCCCACTCACTGCCACATCAGCAGACGCTACATCATCTCCAGACGCCACATCCGCAGGCGCGATATCCTCTCCAGCCGCCACGTCAGCATCCTTGAACAGGTATCTAACAACTACCCTGAGCGCCTTGTCACTGGCCCTCAGCTCGCCTGCCAGCACCGGGAACTGCCTCTCTGCCGCCTCCACCTCCTCTGGAGATACCTCTATCGAGTCTATCAGCTCTGGTAATCCTGCCAACGCTGCACTTGCACACGCACCTCCTACACCTGCTGCACCTGCTCCTGCTCCTCCTGCTGCTGCCGCTGCTGCTGCACCGCTGACTGCACCGGCTTCATCTGTTATACTGCCTTCTGCCACTGCCACACTTGCTCCACCTCTCGCCCCGGCAGCATCCCACGTTTGACCATCCACTTCCTCACTCCCTCCCACACTCCCTCCCTCACTCCCTCCCACCTCCCTCTCCCGACCCTCTCTTGCCGCCCACAGCATCACAGCCAGCCCCCGGAGCCCGCCCACAGACGCGCAGGCCTTGGCTAGCAGACGAAGCGCGTAGCTGTCAGCCGGGCGGCCGCCTGCCCGCATTGCCGCCCACACGCGGGAAAAGGACGAGAGATCGCCTGCCAGAAGGTAGGCGGACAGGAGTACAGTGTAGGGGCGCTGATGGGGGGGAGGGGAGGGGGGTGGGGAAGGATGGGGGGGGGAAGAAAGGAGGGACAGGCTTTCAAGAATGGAAGAGGCTAAGAAGAAGAGCGTAAGGTAGGGAACGGAGGAGGAGGAAGGAGGGAGGACGGAGGATGATGAGAGAGGGGAAACTGAGGGAGCAAGGCAGGGACGAGCAGAGGGTGATGCAGGGCAATGTGGCACGGCAGGTGAACACCGAGGATAGGTTTGTTCAGCTGCTCTAGTTAAACTCACCCCATATTTGAACCTCTGCACAGTGACCAAGTGGGCCCGCCCATACTCCGCACACACCGCCTCTGCCTGTCTCATCCGCCCCGCCCCCACCATTGCCTCCACCAGCATCACATACAGACTAGGCTCCACGCCCCTCTTGCTCGCCTCCACGTCGTGCTTCAGAGGAACCTGGCTCGCCACTCCCTCACTCACTCCCTCACTCACTCCCTCACTCTCACCCTCCCCGACAAACACGCTCCAAGCTCGGTCCATCTCCCCCGCTCTCGCCAACCCCAGAACCATGGCCATCCGAAAACTTTCCGGCTCGGGCAGCCCGAGCGCCAAAATTTCCCCAACAGCTGTCCGGATCCCTGCAACGTCGCCCTGGGCAGCGAGGGCATCGAGCCACATGGCGGCATCCCATTGGCTGAGGGGATAGCCTGCTTGAATCATGCTGGCTACGGTTGGTGGGATGAGGGGGAGGTGGTTGTGGGAGTAGAAGGAGCGGAGGAGCAGACGATAGGACTCGTGGTCAAGAGAGAAAGGGGTAGGTGTGGGGGAGGAGGAGGAGGAAGAGGAGGAGGAGGGGAGGGAGGAGAGTGAGGAGAGGAGGGCGGCTGTGAGGGAGGCGGCGTGTGGCGAGCAGGACATGTCGTGAAGGAGCACCCTGCGAGATGGGTACGAATGAAGGAGACATGGATGAGAAAGTAGGAGAGTGGAGAGTGGAGAGTGGAGAGTGGAGAGTGGAGAGTGGAGAGTGGAGAGTGGAGAGTGGAGAGTGGAGAGTGGAGAGTGGAGAGTGGAGAGTGGAGAGTGGAGAGTGGAGAGTGGAGAGTGGAGAGTGGAGAGTGGAGAGTGGAGAGTGGAGAGTGGAGAGTGGAGAGTGGAGAGTGGAGAGTGGAGAGTGGAGAGTGGAGAGTGGAGAGTGGAGAGTGGAGAGTGGAGAGTGGAGAGTGGAGAGTGGAGAGTGGAGAGTGGAGAGTGGAGAGTGGAGAGTGGAGAGTGGAGAGTGGAGAGTGGAGAGTGGAGAGTGGAGAGTGGAGAGTGGAGAGTGGAGAGTGGAGAGTGGAGAGTGGAGAGTGGAGAGTGGAGAGTGGAGAGTGGAGAGTGGAGAGTGGAGAGTGGAGAGTGGAGAGTGGAGAGTGGAGAGTGGAGAGTGGAGAGTGGAGAGTGGAGAGTGGAGAGTGGAGAGTGGAGAGTGGAGAGTGGAGAGTGGAGAGTGGAGAGTGGAGAGTGGAGAGTGGAGAGTGGAGAGTGGAGAGTGGAGAGTGGAGAGTGGAGAGTGGAGAGTGGAGAGTGGAGAGTGGAGAGTGGAGAGTGGAGAGTGGAGAGTGGAGAGTGGAGAGTGGAGAGTGGAGAGTGGAGAGTGGAGAGTGGAGAGTGGAGAGTGGAGAGTGGAGAGTGGAGAGTGGAGAGTGGAGAGTGGAGAGTGGAGAGTGGAGAGTGGAGAGTGGAGAGTGGAGAGTGGAGAGTGGAGAGTGGAGAGTGGAGAGTGGAGAGTGGAGAGTGGAGAGTGGAGAGTGGAGAGTGGAGAGTGGAGAGTGGAGAGTGGAGAGTGGAGTGGACACATGCTACACTCAATTCTCAATGGCGAATGCAATCTCATACTATGAAGAAATCTTATGTGAAGAAGAACGACTGAGTGAGATACCGCATCTTGACGACAACCACATGCCACGTGGACCAATCAGCAGGCTTTCTTGATCAATCATCTCACTCGCTTCACCTATCACCTCACTCACTTCACTAATGACATCAGCTCCGGGTCGACTGCTGCCGCCCGCCTCTCCACCAATCCAATCGCATCCTCCCACCGCCCCTGCTGCGCCAGCACGCGCACCATCACAGAAAAGACAAACGAGTCCGGCCGCACGCCGTCCGCCTGCATCTCCTCGAACAGCGCCTCGCTTCGTCCCCACATGCGGGAGTGGGCGGCGATCTGAATGGCGAGGCTGTAGGAGTCGAGGCGTGGGCGGCACCAGGGCTGCTGGCGCATCCACTCAAACACTCGGAGGGAAAGAGCTGGAGCGTGCTGCATCCACAGCTCCAATATCTGCCGAATAGCCAGGTAAACAAGTAAAACCCAGGTTAGGAGCGGTGGTATGAGGTGAGGAGGGGTGGTACAAGGCGTGGGCGGCACCAGGGCTGGTGGCGCATCCAGTCAAACACCCTCAAGGAGAGAGTTGGGGCGTGTTGTAACCAGAGCTCCAAGACCTGCCGAATAGATAGGAACAATGACGGGGTGGTACGAGGTGCGGATGGGTCGTATGAGGTGGGATGGGTGGTACGAGGTGAGGATCGGTGGTATGAGGTGAGGATGGGTGGTATGAGGTGGGATGGTGGGAAGAGGTGGAGGGGTAGTACGAGGAGTGGCGGTGGCAGCACCATTGCAAAAGCATTCAATCACACCCTGCCACGAGGGACGACGGGATGGGCTGCAAGCATATCTCCTAAATATAATAGCTTAAGGTTCGAGGTTCGGGGTTTTGAAGGTTCGTGATTTGGGTTTAAAGTTTAGAATTTGGAATTTGGGGGTTCGAGATTTGGGGTTTCGGGTTCAAGCTCTGGAGTTTTAGGTTGAGGGTTACACAAGAGTCCTGCCACGTGGCACTTACCAGTTCCATCATGTGGTATCGGTTGCCCCTCCACCCATCCACAATCTCCTCCACGCTCCGCCCCTCCCCACTCCCCTCTGCTGAAATCACCTGAGCCGCCACCTGAGCAGCCATCTGAACAGAAAGTCCCTCCTCAGTTCCCTCACCCCACTCTCCACCTCTGACAGCATCACTTTCCTCCCTCCCTCCTTTCCCCTCCCACCTCTCCTCCTCCTCCTCCTCCTGCTCCCTCTGCCACTCACCACTCTTCTCACTCCGCCCCTCCCTGTCGCGCCTCGGCCTCTTTTCCTCCCACCTCTTCCACCCTTTCCATGTCCCCTCTTGCTCCCTCACACTCCTCTCCTCACTCTGCTCCCCCCCCCCTCCTCTCCCCCCTCTCCACCTCCCCTTCATCTTCCGTCTCCTCGCTTGTAATCTCACCGTTTTCATTATCTACAACCTTGCTAACTAAGCCCCTACTTTCTAAAATCCTCTTCGCTAAAACCCTGTCCCCTGGCCTAGCTCGTCGCTGCTTGGCCAGAAGAAGCTTCTTCTGCATTTCCAGCGCCGCCCACTCCGAGACAACCTCCCGCCAGCTCCAATAACGCGTACGCCCATCCGGCCCTCCTCTCTGCCGAGGGGAGTAACGACCCCGCGTTTCCACATCCTGCCCCTGCCCCTGCCCCTGTCGCTGGACCTGCCCCTGCCGCTGCCACTGCCGCTGCGCTGGTTGCCCCTGCCCCTGCCCCTGCCGCTGCACCTGCGCTGGCTGCGCCTGCACCTGCTCTAGTCGCGCTGGCTGCGCTGGACGCCCTAACAGCGGGAGGGGCTGCTGTGGCCGCGCCTGCGCTGATTCAGAAGCAGGGTTTCGCGCGCTCTCGCTACTCGGCCTCGGGCTCTGCCACGTGCGAGCCCTTAAATTCATATTCTCTGAACTCGTATTCTCTAGAGCAGTATTTTCTGAAGACGTATTCGCTACCGCCGCATTCTCTGAACGCGTATGAGGATTCCCGTTGGCGGATCTACTCAAAGGCACTGCTTCTCCTTCACTCCATGAGATTTCTTTCTCCGATACAGAGTCGGGACTCGCTAAACGAGTTGGCTTTTCGGACGTATCTGACGAGCAGATGGAACTGGCCAATGCATCCCCGTTACTGGCACTGCTGCGAATAACGAAACCCACTCGCCTGCGCCCTGCGGTTGTGGTTGGCGAGAGCAGCTGCGGAAGCGGCAAAAGGACCTGCCTGCGCAGATCGGAAGAGGCGAGGCGACGAGCGAGGAGTCTGCGAGGCGGCGGCAGGGTGCGATGAGCGAACGCGCGAGGAACGATCGAGACGGGCGCGAGCGAGAGAGGAGCGAGCGACGGGCGCAAGGGCGCGAGTGCGCCAGGGGCAGACCTCGACACGCGGTCACATCTATCGCAAATGACACGCGCGGTGCTTGAGCGTTGCGCGCTCGCGACTGGGCGGTACCGGAGGTTTTGCGGGGAAAAGACCGTTGGAGCGGCGCGAGACGGGCCGGCCGCGGGGCATGCAACGCGCATCCGCGGCAGCGCCCCTACTGGGCCTGCCGGGACTGCCGCCATCGGAACGTTGGCACGTCGTGACACCGTAGGCTCGCCGACGATGGCTCAACGGATTATGGATCGTAACTATAACCGAAAGTCTGCGCCTTTGTCTGGGCTGAAACCACCGACCGAGCTGAAGAGATGCCCCTTTCGTGTCAGATGACCAGGAGGTGGGTGGATTCAATCAAAGCTGAAATAGAGTCGATTTCGTTGGCTGGTTTTGCGGTGAAGGGGAGCATGCAAGGAAGTGGAGGAAGTGAAGCAAGCTGCTACGGGCGCGGGATATTTTGAAGAATTTGCGACTTCTGGGAGGAAAAATATCTGCTAATGAGAGCTCCTCTATAGATGAAACTATATGCTATCTCTAATCTGCAATGTTGACGATTTGTTCTTGTGCTATTGGGAATCTCACCCACCGGAAATCTCATATTGGTTCATGAAAGAGACAAACTTCTCGCAAAGTGTACAATTTACACGCTTCATGTACCCGTACACTCCTCGTTGTACCTCGTCACTCTTATATCGAGCAATTTCAACAACTAATCTCCCACAGTCCTTCCTTTCGGCCACACCAACTTCAGCGCCTATTTTCCTCCGCAACGCAGAGGCAAGCACATTACTCCCGTCACTATAGTCGAATAGTCGCGCCACCGTCTCTGCGCAATTCGCTTTTCTTTCCCTGTTTCAACGCTGCTGCTACAGATTAGGAAAGGAGAGAAGAAATCAGTTCCTCGCTAGCAAGGCAAGATTCAAGCCGGCATTATGACCTAGGTCGAGCGCCTCTCCCACCCCAGGGCGTGCAAGGCGAAGCGAACTCTGCTGGAACGCTGTGCGCACCAAACTTTCCCAATGCGTATCATGGGTACCACCGCTCTCGTGTCACCTTGCCGCTAGTAGACAGGTCAATTCTACCGCCAGCCTCTCCCAATTTCCGCCAACGTTTCCGCATTGCGCATTGCGCGGGCAGACGGCAGAAGCCGCATTCCGCTTTTACTGGAAGACGACAGCAGACGGTAGAACCCGCGGTCCGGCCTCGCGCTGTTTCCGGTGTCTTTGGCAGGCGCCATTCGGGTGACATTCGGGTGACATTCGGGTGACATTCGGGTGACATTCGGGTGACATTCGGGCCGATCACCATGCCTGCGTGCCGCCCAGGACCAACCATGGCTGCCTGGCGGCAACTGGGCTAGCCCCGAGTAGTCTACTTTAGCCTCGAATACAATCGTAGGTCTTCGCTCAATTACAGTATTTAATAGGCGTTTGCGGAGATTGGATATCTCTAGAGGACCCGCGCGGTTGCCGCGGTAGAGGCTTTGATTGAGAAAGTCGGTTAAGAGACCTTTGCGGCGTCCCAACCGAACGGAGTTTTGCGTGGTTGCGGTTTGTAGCGCGATTCGTCTTTTAGAATTCTCGGGTCAAGATGATGGCCAAGCATCGGCTGCCGACCATCTTCAGCGTCAATCAGGGCCGTACGATTGTCGCGGCGATGGACGGCTGCGAGATGTGCATCGACGCGCTGCGCGATTTCGTGGAGGAGCGGATGCGGAAGCACGACGACCGTTTGATCGTGGCGCTCTATCACAACCGCACGTCGTGGCGATCCGCGCTCCGCGTCCCCCGAGCAGGCAAGCCAGGCCCCTCCGTTTCTCGTTTCCCGTCTCCCGAGCAGCGCGTCCCTTCCTTTTCTCCCTTTTCTCGTTCCCCCTCACTATTCTCTCTCCCCTCCTCACTCCCTCACTTCTTCTTCCTCACTCCTCCCTCACCCATTCCTCCATTCCCCATGCTTACCCCTCCCTCAACATCTGCCCTCCATACCCAAACCTAGGATGAATTATTCACATTTATAGGTAAGTTCGAACTTCTTTTCCTGGATTTTATCCAGCCGGCAAGCGTTCAAGTTCCCCCACAGCCCACACCTGAGGTGCACTCAACAGCCCAACAACTGCCGTTTCTAAGCTATTGCAAATGCCCCGCGCTCCCACCAAGGTTCACACCTCCCCTCCCCTTCTCCCGGCCTCCCCTCCTGGCCCCTGTTGCCACAAACTTGACCTAGCCCCCATTCCCCATACCCCCATGTGCCTCCCTTTTTCATCCCCCCTTCCTCCCCCAAACCCCTTCCTCCCCCAAACCCACCCCTCCCCCCTCCCTCCCTCCTCCGCTCCCCCATCGCCCACCTCTCTTCCTCCCTGCTCCCTCGTCAAGTCTCCATAGACTCCATGTAAGGGACGTAGTGTTTTGAGACGTCTAAAAATGGACTCCAGGTAAGGGGCGTAGAGGACCTGACCTGACATGGATTTCAGCCACCGGGAGCAGCCCAGTCATTCCCCCTTTCCAATCGCCCTTCCCATCATTAACCACATTCTCTTTCACCCACTCCCGCCTCCTCCCCCTTCTCCTCTCCCTCTTCGGCCAGACTCCATAGAGGGCGGAGAGGACACGGACGGCAGCGGCCGCGGGCAGCCCACCTGTTCACTTTCGACAGTTCCTTGACGGCAGCGACCGCGAGCAGCGCAATCCCTCCCATCCGCCTAACCCCCTGACCACCAACATCCAACTCTATCTCCCCCCCCCTCCCTCTTTGCAGACTCCATAAAGGACGGGGAAGACACGGACGGCAGCGACCGTGAGCTAACCAATCAACCCCCTCTCCCTTCCCCTCTTCCCCTTACCAACCCCCTCTCTTCTCCCCCCTTTCGCCCCTTTGCAGACTCCATAAAGGACGGGGAGGACACGGACGGCAGCGACCGCGAGCAGGCGCTCAAAGAGCTTATGACGGCCACGGGCAGCGCGGGCGGCGGAGGGCACGGGCCGTCGGTGAGCAACGTGTCGACCATCGGGACAGGCACGGCGGTGATTGATGAGGCCACGGCGCCCGTGCTGCTGAAACGACTCAAGTGGGATGGGGACGCTAAACAAGCGCTCTCCCGCCTTGTGGGAGTGTCCATTGAGAAAAAGGTGAGGGGAGAGGGGGATTTGGAGGGGGGTGGGTAGCGAGGCTGTGAGGGGAGGGAGAGAGGGAGGGAGAAACCAGGGGTAGGAGCAAGGGATGGTAGGCGAGGGCAGGGGGCGTATGGTAAGGCACGATCAGGGCGCGCACGGGCCGTCGGTGAGCAACGTGTCGACCATCGGGACGGGCACAGCGGTGATCGATGAGGCGACGGCGCCCGTGCTGCTGAAACGACTCAAGTGGGACGGCGACGCCAAGCAGGCTCTGTCGAGGCTTGTGGGGGTTTCTATCGAGAAGAAGGTGAGGGGAGGGAATTGGGGGGATGGACGGGATCGGGGGAGGGAATTGGCGAGGGAGTATGGGAGGGAATTGGCGAGGGAGTATGGGAGGGAATGCAATGTGGAGCAGGGGAGGGGTGGGAGGTAAGAGCATGGATGCTGAACAGGCGCTGTCCTGTCTCATCAGAGCATGGATGGTCTCTTGAAGAGAAGGTGAGGGAGAGGAAAGGGGAGGGGGTGATCTCAGCCTGTGTGCTTGTGCTTGTGCTGGTGCTGGCCAGGCCACCACACATGGCATCTCCATCCAGGCACGGACCCACGCAGCACACAGTCCCCCCTCTTGCTTGCGTAAGGAGGCCTTTTCGAGACTACTATGAGTCAGGGAGGCCACCACACGTGGCATCTCCAGGCACGAACCCATGCAGCACAGCACACAGTCCCCCTCTTGCTCCGCCCTGCCCTTCCCACCTCCCCTCAGGTGCGTTTCGAGGTGGCTCTATTGAAGTCCAAGTCTGCGGCCTCTGCAGTAGTCAGTTTTTGCGACATGATCTCTGCTGACGTGCTCCTTCTCTCCCCCCTTCTCAAAATCATCCTAAAAAAAAGTGGTAGCCAGTTTTTGCGACATGATCTCTGCTGACGTGCTCCTTCTCTCCCCCCTCCTCCCCTGGCCCCCTCAGGTGCGTTTCGAGGTGGCTCTACTGGATTCTAAGTCACTGGCCTCTGCGGTCGTCAGCTTCTGCGACATAATCTCAGCAGACGTGCTCTTGTTGCCCAATTAACACGCACTCCCACTCTTGCTCCTTCTCACCTCCCCTCAGGTGCGTTTCGAGGTGGCTCTACTGGATTCCAAGTCTGTGGCCTCTGCGGTCGTCAATTTCTGCGACATGATCTCTGCTGACGTGTGCTTGCTCTCCCCCCTTCTCCCCTGGCCCCTTCAGGTGCGTTTCGTGATCTGATAAAAGAAGTGTTCTGAGACGTCTCAAAACTCTCCCCCCTCCTCCCCTGGCCCCCTCAGGTGCGCTTCGAGGTGGCGCTACTGGATTCCAAGTCTGTGGCCTCTGCAGTCGTCAATTTCTGCGACATGATCTCAGCGGACGTGCTCGTGCTGGCCACGACACGTGGCATCTCCAGGCACGAGCCAGCTCAGCAGAACACGATCCAGAAGGTGCTGTCCAAGATTGGCCACGTCAGCCACACTGAGCTGGCGCACCACTGCAGCAAGAACGCGCCGTGTGCCGTTGTGATTATATCGGAGCATGAGGAGGAGGACGAGGAGGAGGATGGTTAGGGTTTTGAGAGTCGAGACGGCTTAGGTAAAAATTGGCCACGTCAGTTGCACAGAGCTGGCGCAGCAGTGCAGCAAGAACGCAGCTGTGAGTGCTCCACCTCATGTTCGCGGTGGTGATTTTATGGCACGTGAACATGAGGAGGAGGACGGGTAGAGTGGGTTTGCTGGAGGTGCATTTGTGGCACGTGAGGTGCGGTACGTGAATCAAATCAGAATGAGGAAGTGGATGGAGGTGGATGGGGAGGAGAAGGCAAAGCATGAGGGGAGTTGGCATGGGCTGGTCGGCTGTGGGGTATGCAGGGGAGAGCATGGCGGTGCGACAGGAAGTTGCCTACAGACAGAAGCTCCGGAAGAGGGATGGAGGGCTGGGGAGGTGCTGCTAAGTGCCCACCATGCCATGCCCCTGAACCTGAATTCACCCCTTCGAGCTGGCTCTAGGTAGGAGAATTTCCGTCAGGGTTTTAGGGAAGGATGTGTTGCTTTCATAAGCGATTTCTGCCACCTTATTGGCACAACGCACTTTGTTTTTGCAGAGCATTGTAATGTGCTCTGGTCATATTTCATGCCATGTGATATGTTTTGTACTATTGAATATTGGTCACAAGGAGCATGAGTAGTGTGTGCTTGTTTGCATGTATCGAATGCTTGTGTGTCACCTACCTGTAGTGCTGTATCGTTTTCCAACCCTGCTTGAAAATGGGGTTTATCGGAGATTTCTGTTGGAGAATCGAGTTTCTGCCGCCCCAGCCCTTTGCACACAAGCAGCAGCAAGGGGGAATGTCGGCGATGAATCAGAGCTTCGGGAAGTACTTCGAAAGTTCCACCACCAATCAGATTTCAGCCGAAGACTCGATATAGTTCAAAGCTGCCTTCAAACCGAAGTGTTGGCAGTTTCTACAGGTTTCTACACATCAGAATCAGCTATAACAGAAATATCCAGAGTTTTCTTATTCATGCACCTCATGTGGCACTCAAAGTCACTCAAGGTCCATCCAATCTAGATTGTGCCCAAGTTACCAGGGAAGTTACATTGTCTATCAGCCTAGTTTGAGCTTTCAATCTGTCTTGTTTGTGATGCCTAGAGTTGTGCTTTAGTGGGCTTGTTAATCTTGAACATAGTGAAGTTTTACCTCATCCAGTCAATTCCAGCAGCCCTGCTAAGACTTTCCAGCCAAGTTTCCAGCCCTCCAGTAGTCACAGCTACTCTGTTTTACAAGTTGGTATCAGAGCTTGTCGTTTCGATCAACCTAGCCCACCACGTTCCTATCCTAGCACCATACGAACATGGCGGGAGACAATCCATCTGGTCCTGCACTCCAGCCAGCCGGAGGAGCTTCAGAGTCAACATCAGCAGCTACTGGATTAGTGGAAGCAGTTGCACCAGGCAGTCCTTCAACAACATACTCACCACTCACCTCCTTCATGCCTAAGCTTCACCTCCCCAAGTTCAACGGCAAAGATTTTCCAACATGGGCAACTCAGTTTGAGCTCACTGCATCCCTTCTGGATCTGTGGCCTTACTACACTGGAGAAGCAGCCAAACCAGCAGCAGATGCTTCAGAAGCTGAAAAACGACTTTACGAACGACGCAACAAGGAGGCCTTCCTCTACCTACTCAATAGCATTCACGAGCAGCAGTTGAAGTCGCTCCTGCCCTGTTCTACCAAGGCAAACAGTGCAGAGGAAGCATGGAGCCGACTGAAGACTATGCACCAGTCAAAATCCGAGAGCAGCCAAGCCGAGATGTGGAGCCGCTTCATGAATCTGAAGATGGAAGAAGATGAATCAGCACAAGCCTACCTACAACGAGATGAAGCAATGCTGGAGGAAGCAGCAACGATCGGCTTGGAGATTCCAGAGTCTCTTTTCAAGACCGTCATCCTCACCGGCCTTACACCGGAGTGGGACACTTTCCGTGCAACACTACAAGCGCTCCCGCAGTCAATGAAGAGTCGTGCGTTCATCTTTGAGGCCCTTGTCAACGAGCAGCAGAGTCGAGACCTTGCACGGAACAAGCGGAGTGACGAAGGTGCGTGGAGTGCTGCAGCAGCCACAAGATATGGCAACCAATTCCAGAGGCAAGGAAATTTCAGCCCAAACCGCCCTCAACCCTACTACGGTACGAAATTTCAGTCACCTTCCAACCCATACAAACCCTCTCGTTTTCCTCAGTCAAGTCCTCCCTATAAGTCCAGTCACTATGTCCAGCCAAGGCCTTCGATTCCCAATCAATACCAGCCTAGGAATGCAAGAGTCAATATGCCAAGAGTCAATAATTTCAGCCAAGCCCCGAATGCTAAAAAGTTTAATTTTGAGTGTTTTTGTTGTCATGAGTGGGGTCACCCGTGGTATGCTTGTCCTAAGAAGCCTCCTAATTGGGTCCCCCCACCTCAGCTACTATCTGAAAAAGGTAAGGCAGCCATAGCAAATATAGCAAGTCATTCTACAAGTCAAGATGAGTCCAAAGAGTCCGATGGTCCTGTCCTTTTTAACGCTGCTACTTGCATGCACGTTTTCTCTACTAGTAGTGAGGAGTTTATTCTTGATAGTGGCTGCTCTGAAACCATGACTCCCTATCAGTCCATTCTCAAGGATTTTCAGCCCTCATATGACTCAAAAGCTGTGACTCTTGCTGATCTTGGCAAAGTACCAATCAAAGGAGTCGGCAAGCTTGAGTTCGAAAAGGATGGTAAGTCATTTTGTGTCAATAAAGCTTTGTTTGTTCCTGATTTGGGAGCAAACTTGCTCTCAGCCGGACAACTCGAAGAGAAAGGTGCCTCCGTTCTCTTGCAAGGGGGGAAAGCCAAAGTGTGGGACAGTGCAGGAAATCTGGTGGCTGAAGGCGAGCGTACCGGGCGGCTCTACAAGATGAAGTTGGAGATTAAGCGCGGTGCTAGCAACACGAAGAACGACGTTGTCTCGCTTCCCGCTGTTTCAACCGATCAAGTCAACAACAAAGGGAGTATCTCCCAAGCTGAGGTATGGCATGCACGCTTGGGGCACGTGGGAGTGCAAGCATTGAAAGAGTTGGTAAATCACAAGAGCGTGGAAGGATTGAGTTTGAATGAAAGTGCAGTCAAGTCCCTTTCTTCCGTTCCATGTCCATCTTGTGTGGAAGGTAAACTAGCTAGAAAGCCATTCTTCCCTTTTAAGTCTCAGTCAAGGGACCTCCTAGAGTTGGTCCACACTGATGTCTTCGGCCCCATGCGAGACCCTACTCGACACGGTAAGAGATATTTGGTGTCTTTCATTGATGACAAGAGTCGTTTCTCGTGGTCCTTTTTCATCAACACCAAGGATGAAGTTCACAAGTGTTTCAAGCAATGGCTAGCACTTGTTGAGAGAGAGTCAGGGAAGAAGTTACTCACCTTGAGGTCGGATCGAGGAGGTGAGTACATGGGGAAAGCGTTTCAGGGGGAGTTGTTGGCATTGGGCATCAAACAACAGTTCACTTGTCCCTATAGTCCTCAGCAAAATGGAGTGGCAGAGAGGTTTCATCGCACTATCCAGGCTATAGCTACCACTTTCCTTAAGTTCAAAGGCCTTGACAAGCTCTGGTGGGGTGAGGCAATCACTATGGCAATTTATGTTCGCAACAGGAGACCCACAAGGCCCTTACCGGAAGGTGTAACGCCATATGAGGCTTGGTTTGGAGTTAAACCAGATCTGTCTATGCTTCGTGTTTTTGGTTCCATGGCCCAATACCGTGTTCCAGATGCAAAGAGACTCAAGCTGGACAGCAAAGCTCATTGGGGCCTCTTCATCGGCATGAGCAATGAGAGCAAGGGATGGGTCCTTTGGGATCCTGTCACCAAGCGAGAAGTGGTTTCAAGGGATGTTGTCTTCTATGAAGACATGTCCCTTGCAGGTTGGCATAAGTTTTCCTCTTCCTCCTCTCTACCCTCTATCCAACAGGAACCAGCAAGCGCACCTGAGGAAACAACACAAGAGGAGGAAGAAGATGACACCGATTCTGACCATAGCGGACCGATCATCGATCTCCCTCAAGCCGTCGTCAACGAGTCCAACCGTGCCACGCCAGTGCCACCAGTAGCTACTCAACCAAGTGGAGATGAAGTTCAGCCATCAAATGAAGACAATCCACCGCAGCAAGTCACCGTTCCATCACCACCAAAGGAGCAGCAGCCAACAGTCACAAACCAGCCAGCTATATCAACACCAACCTCACAATTTCAACGCCAACCGGATCAGCCCACCACTACGCCATCAAACCCATCACCAGCCATCACTCCAGAGGCAACTACAGAAGCTCATCATCATCCCATGCAGCAGCAATCAACAGCTACAAGACCCCAAGTACCTACATCAACACCATCTACGACTCTTCCTAGCAACAAGTCAACCGTCACCGCAACACCTCGTTCTCATACCACACGTTCATCACTTGTTCCAACGTCAAGCCAGCTCATAGCATGAGGATCACTTCAGCGAGTCACCACCAACACCAGCTCCAACAGTCCACTTCTTCACCCAAGACCTTTCTCAACTTCACCCCCACGTCCCGGATTCGGTCGTCATCAGTTACCACCATCTTCAACACCGAGCAACAACACCAACCAGCCCCAACCATCACCACCTCTCGACAAGGCAGCGTCATCATCAATTCCCAAGCTTCTAGTCTCAAGATCCCCACCAAGAGCATCTTCACAACCAACTATGCCGACAAACGTTTCAGCTTCACCGCCACGAGTCACCATACCTAATCCTCAAGTCAACACCGATAATCAAGATATTTCCACGCCAGGAGAAGAACAAGCAGCCGTGCCGCCGTCGCAGCCGATGTCGCAGCCGTTGTCTCAGCTACAAATGACCGCATCAACGCAATCAAACACTGTGAGACCGAACCCTACCACTAATGTGTCTCAACCAACTGAGGAGTTTGGTAAAGGTAAACGAGTCCGCAAGGTAAAAAAGCCCTTCAATTTCATGGTTGACATGTCATCAAGGTGCACATGTGAGGAGAGTGAGAATTGCATTCACAAGAAGGTAGAGGCAATATGCATGGCAGCATCACACCTTCCGCGAGAGCCCTTGAGTCGTCGTGAGGCAATGGCAAGTCCCGAAAGAGAGCATTGGTTGAAAGCCGAGGAAGAGGAGATTGAGAGTCTCATGAAGCGAGGTACATGGCGTCTTGTTGAGCCACCTCCAGGGAAGAAGGTAATTGGTGTCAAATGGGTGTACAAGATCAAGGTAAAAGGTGATGGTAGCCTCGATAGGTACAAGGCAAGGTTAGTGGCAAAAGGTTATTCCCAAATTCCAGGTCTTGACTTCACCGAAACCTTTGCCGTGGTAGCAAAGTACACCACGGTACGAGTCCTCCTCGCCATAGCCGCATATCTTGGTCTCCATATCCATCAAATGGATGTCAAGAACGCATTTCTCTACGGTGTCTTGGAAGAAGAGGTATACATGGCACAACCCGAAGGTTATGATGACGGTACGGGTCGAGTGTGTCGCTTGGTAAAGTCCCTTTATGGTCTCAAACAGTCCCCACGGGTTTGGTATCATGCTCTTGAGCAGGTACTTTTCAAGCATGGTTTCACAAGGTCCATGAGAGACAACGCTCTGTACTTCATGCACACGAGTGAGGGGGAGTACATTTGGCTCTTGGTATATGTCGATGACCTCCTCCTAGTCTCAGGTTCTCTTGATCTTCTCAACAAGGTGAAAGGTATTCTCACGAGTGCATTCACGATGACCGATCTTGGTGAGCCGAGTCATTATCTTGGTATGAACATTGTGAGAGATCGTAAGTCACGGTCCATCTTCCGATTCCAGCAAAGGTACATCCAAAAGGTCCTTGAGAGGTTTGGTCTTGATGATAGCAAGCCATCACCTACCCCACTTCCTTCCAAATCTGTCCCTTTGTCTTCACATCAGCCCTATGAAGAGAGAGAGTCAAGCCTTGATATCATAGGTATTAAAGAGTTGTGTCTTGAGGAGAGTGAGCATCATGGTGAGAATTCACTTAAGGTATCCCCACAAGACCTAGCTCTGTACCAAAGTCAGGTTGGGTGTCTCATGTATGCAGCCCTATGCACAAGGCCCGACTTAGCATTCACGGTATCTAAGCTAGCTCAACACATGAGTGCCCCTTCACCTATTCATATGCATGCAGCCAAGCGAGCTCTTCGGTATCTCAAAGGTACTTCTAATCATGGTCTTCTCTTCCAAGCCAGCCCATATGCAAGCTCCCTCCAAGGCTTTACCGATGCAGATTGGGCGGGAGAATTGAGCACACGCAAGTCTACCGGCGGCTACATCTTCCTCATGTGTGGTGCCGCTGTTTCTTGGCAATCGCGCAAGCAAAGTTGTGTGGCACTTTCAACAACCGAAGCTGAGTACATGGCAATGACCGAAGGAGCAAGGGAGGCAATCTGGTTACGTGGACTCTTGGAGGAATTGAGGCAGCCGCAAACTCAACCAACTCCGTTCTACGTGGACAACACTTCAGCCGTAGCTCTTTCCAAGAACCCGGTTCATCATGGGCGTACAAAGACATCGAGGTGCAGTACCACTTCATTCGTGAGCAACTAGAGAAGGGAGTTCTCGCCGTCAACTTTTGCCGTTCATTCGATCAAGCAGCAGATTTCATGACCAAGGTTCTTCCACATGATGCATTCAACATGTGCAAGGCAAGAGCAGGCCTCATGACACTTCATGAAGCAGTGGAGCAGTTTGAGGAGAATGAGGAGTGTGAGGGGAAGAGACGTGGGCAGCAGCATGAAGTGTATGCTAAGGAGATGTGAAAGGAGCATCAGCATGGGTGTATGTGTGCTTCGGGTCTGGTGCGAGGGGGAGTGTTGGAGAATCGAGTTTCTGCCGCCCCAGCCCTTTGCACAAAAGCAGCAGCAAGGGGGAATGTCGGCGATGAATCAGAGCTTCGGGAAGTACTTCGAAAGTTCCACCACCAATCAGATTTCAGCCGAAGACTCGATATAGTTCAAAGCTGCCTTCAAACCGAAGTGTTGGCAGTTTCTACAGGTTTCTACACATCAGAATCAGCTATAACAGAAATATCCAGAGTTTTCTTATTCATGCACCTCATGTGGCACTCAAAGTCACTCAAGGTCCATCCAATCTAGATTGTGCCCAAGTTACCAGGGAAGTTACATTGTCTATCAGCCTAGTTTGAGCTTTCAATCTGTCTTGTTTGTGGTGCCTAGAGTTGTGCTTTAGTGGGCTTGTTAATCTTGAACATAGTGAAGTTTTACCTCATCCAGTCAATTCCAGCAGCCCTGCTAAGACTTTCCAACCAAGTTTCCAGCCCTCCAGTAGTCACAGCTACTCTGTTTTACAAGTATTTCAAGGGAGTGGACAATTCGTAATAAACCACGCTGCTGTGAGGTCGCATTTCGTTTCTACTTGGACGACGAGGTTCAAGTTAGCTCTCCACGATTTGTCGGGTCCGAACATATCGTGGTTCCAGTTCGGCCATCTCGGACGTGCGCAAGTGTTCGAACAAAGGGAATCCAACAAATCACGAAAACCTCGGTCCCACAGTAACTGCATTTGTTCCGGTTTCGTGGGGTTGTTAGCGAAACCGTTTGGTGCTATGCGACAACGCTTCTGAGTAACCAGATGGAGACTGAACCGTTTGAATTTCTACAGGACCCGTCCTAGGCACGCGTCAGACAGGAGTCCCTAGTAGATTCCTCTGCGGCCATGCTAGTGCTGTCGCGTCGCATTGTCAACATGACGCGGAAAGCTGATATCTGTGAACGAATTTGCTGTGACTAGCCTGTTTATTAGCATCCTAAAAACAAATTTCCTCTTGTTCAATTTTGACCCGTCAATGGTCGTGGCGAGGCGGCAGGATTCCGCGCGAGAGCGCGTGGTGCGATCGCGTCGCGTCGCGCTCGTAGCGGCCATTCCGGTGGCGCTCGTGGCGCCCATCCTCTTCGTCTTCGTCCTCACCCCCGCCTCCGAAAACGACAACGGCTCCCCTGCCCTAATCGGCGCGCATGGCAGATCATCCGGTCATGGAGGAAGCGCGTCGGGTCGCGGGGCTTCATCACGCGACGGAAGAATAAGAAACATGCGCGAGAAGGGGAAGGCGACGGCGATCAAGATGGTAGCGGGCGGTGAAAGTGGCACCAGTGGTGGGGAGGGCGAGGGGGACACGTATGCCGTTGTTGTTGACGCTGTGAGCGCGGAGAGCAGCAGCGTCCACGTGTACAGATTTGATTCGCGGATGGAGCTGGGGGAGATTCAGAAAGGTTTTGAAGTGTTGCATTCGGTGAGTTTGTTCTGTTCTTCACCTTTCAAAGGTGGAATCTGGAATCAGTGAGTTCCTGTTCATATAAAAAAAAAAAATTGTTCTCACTTCCTCGCTTGCTGGTTAATTTTCAATAGCTTCTATCAATAGTTTCCTTTGTTCTTTATTGTAGAGGTCTTTCTAGGCAACGCAAATATTTCCTTCCGCCGCTCATATGCTCTGCTAGAATGCTCTCCCCATACCCATTCTCTGCCTATGCTTCGCCATGCCATGCTATTCGCTGCCATGACAGGTGAAGCCCGGGTTTGGAGCGTAATGGGATAATCTCAAGGCAGCATCGGAAAGCCTGCGACCGTTAATAAGGAAGGCACTTAAAGCCACTCCCATGCTCTCCTCATGCTCTCTTCACGCTCCTTGTTGCCATGGCAGGCGAAGCCCGGGCTGGGTGCATACCAGGATAATCCCAAGGCAGCAGCGGACAGCCATATTTGAGAATACTCAAAAGGGACTCAGAGCCACTGTCACATTCCCTCATTGTTGTTCCTCGCTGTGGCAGGTGAAGCCTGGGCTGGGTGCATACGGGGATAATGTCACAGCAGCAGCGAACAGCCTGCGACCGCTGATGAAGAAGGCACTTAAAGCCGTGCCCGAGTTCTCTCGACCAATCTCACCCGTTCTTGTCAGGGTACGCTGCTGGTTGGCCCTGTTCTTCTCAGGGTATGCTGATAGTTCTGTCAGGGTATGTTGCTGGTTGCACCCAATTAGGCATGCACTAGACCTGCCCCCTACTGTGACTGTATCGCATGGTGATTTTATGCGTGTGTGACTGTATCATGCGCATGTGACTGTATGCATGGCAGGCCAATGGATGGCAGGGAAGGCTATTAGGAGACCAGGCAGACAAGATCCTGGCAGAGGTGGGGCTTGGGGCTTTGGGCTTGGGGTTCAGGAGTCCTGGGGGCAGGCCGAGAAGTGGGGAGGGAGGAGGTAGGTGGGGGTGGGAGAAACGAGTGGGGGATGGGATGGCATGGCATGATGCGTAGTTTTCAGTATTCAGCACAGCAGCCAGCCGCTGAGGCATTTTAGAGGCGTGACTGATGGGAAGGCAAGAGTGGAGTCAAACAGAAAGTAGCAGATCCGTTGTCTGTCTTCCCTTCTTCTCTCCCTCCTTTATTGCGGCCTTTTTCTTTCAGCTGAACCCAGGAGGAAATATTTTCCCATATATCCTCAATCCTCTTCCCCCCTTCTAACCCACCCTGCCCTCCCCATCCCCCTCCCCCCTCCTCGCTCCCCTCTCCCCACTCCCCCATCCCCTTTCCCCACCCCTCCTCGTCCTCCAGATCCGCCAGATGCTGACGGAGTACCCGTTCCCGTTCAGCCATGGTGACGTCAGCGTGCTTGATGACAGTGATGCGGGCTTCTTTGCCTGGGTGGGTGGGGCAGGGGAAGGCTGTCGGGGAGATGAGGAGATTTAGATAGTGAGGGCATGTTGATGAGACGGGTTGGTTTGGCCATGGGGCGTTGGGAAGCATGTGGCAAGGTGCATGGATGGCATGGTGCATGGATGGCATGGTGCATGGATGGCATGGTGCATGGATGGCATGGTGCATGGATGGCAAGGTGCATGGATGGCATGGTGCATGGATGGCAAGGTGCATGGATGGCAAGGTGCATGGATGGCAAGGTGCATGGATGGCAAGGTGCATGGATGGCAAGGTGCATGGATGGCAAGGTGCATGGATGGCATGGTGCATGGATGGCATGGTGCATGGATGGCATGGTGCATGGATGGCATGGTGCATGGATGGCAAGGTGCATGGATGGCATGGTGCATGGATGGCAAGGTGCATGGATGGCATGGTGCATGGATGGCATGGTGCATGGATGGCATGGTGCATGGATGGCATGGTGCATGGATGGCATGGTGCATGGATGGCATGGTGCATGGATGGCAAGGTGCATGGATGGCATGGTGCATGGATGGCATGGTGCATGGATGGCATGGTGCATGGATGGCATGGTGCATGGATGGCAAGGTGCATGGATGGCATGGTGCATGGATGGCATGGTGCATGGATGGCATGGTGCATGGATGGCATGGTGCATGGATGGCATGGTGCATGGATGGCATGGCGCATGGATGGCATGGTGCATGGATGGCATGGTGCATGGATGGCAAGGTGCATGGATGGCATGGTGCATGGATGGCATGGTGCATGGATGGCATGGTGCATGGATGGCATGGTGCATGGATGGCAAGGCGCATGGATGGCATGGTGCATGGATGGCATGGTGCATGGATGGCATGGTGCATGGATGGCATGGTGCATGGATGGCATGGTGCATGCATGGCATGGTGCATGGATGGCATGGTGCATGGATGGCAAGGTGCATGGATGGCATGGTGCATGGATGGCAAGGTGCATGGATGGCAAGGTGCATGGATGTCATGGTGCATGGATGGCATGGGGCATGGATGGCATGGTGCATGGATGGTATGGTGCATGGATGGCATGGTGCATGGATGGCAAGGTGCATGGATGGCATGGTGCATGGATGGCAAGGTGCATGGATGGCAAGGTGCATGGATGTCATGGTGCATGGATGGCATGGGGCATGGATGGCATGGTGCATGGATGGTATGGTGCATGGATGGCATGGTGCATGGATGGCATGGTGCACGGGTGCATGGCACTGCTTATCAAGGCAGTGCTTCTTTCCCCCCCCTTCCCCGTGTTATCCAGACAGCTGTTAACCATCTCCTGGGAAACCTGGGAAAGCACCTGAAAAATCACCTGGAGTCAACAGTGGCAGTGGTGGACCTGGGGAATACCAGCGTCCACGTGGCGTATGCAGTTCCTGCTGATGTGGCAAAGAAGGTTCCAGCTGGACACGTGAGGAGACTGAGCGGTTTGGGAAGCACCCACCACGTCTATGTGCGCAGGTGAGAGGAGAGAAGAGGGGTGTGTGGGGAGAGAAGAGGGGGGGTGTGGTAACATGACAGCCTGTGCGTGCAGGGCAGCAGGCTGAGAGGGAGAGGGATGAGAAAAGAGAGGCGGTGTGTGTTGACGTTGCGTGTGCGCAGGATGCAGGATACGGCTAGCTTCATGCTCCAATAACCACTTTTTTAGGCACGTTGAATTGTGAGGCGCCTCAGTAGTCACTTAGCACATCCCTTTCCCCGTCTCTCTCCTCCAATCGGTGTCTGCTTCTCCATCCCCATCCCTCTGCACCGCATCCCACCACGGCACCAGCATGCAGGGCTATGGGCGGATGGCAGGGAGAGCACTGGTGCTGAAAGCAACTAACGACACCCACAACCATCCATGCATGCACGTGGGCTCTCATGGTATGGCCATGCTTCCACGTGGGCCCTCATGATATGGTCATGCTTTTACGTGGGCCCTCAGGGTATGGTCATGCTTCCACGTGGGCTCTCATGGTAGGATTCTGTGCAGCTTCAGTTTTGTGTGTGGAACTGTTGGTGTGGCACAGCCATGCATGCATGCTGAACGAGCCCAAGCAATCTATGATTACCTCTTGGCTCCACTCGGATGCCTGGCTCGGGCATGCCTTTGCATGCCTTTGCATGCCTTTGCATGCCTTTGTAAGCACATTCAATTGTTGTTTTCAGTAAACTCAAACTGTATCCAACCCATGTGCCCCCTTTTTCTCCACACGTCAACCACTCACCCTTCTCCAGGCACATCAGAGCACATCCAATCCCCTGCTTCCTTGCATGCAGCCCTCTGCTCCTAGGCCACCCCCCACGCCCTGCAACAGGCGGCAGCAGCTGCTTCTGCCAGCACCTCCCGCACCACCAGCAGTACCAATACCTTATCCCTGACCCACACCCCTTCCACCCACCCACCCCACTGCAGGCACATCCAAGCCCAGCAGCGACGGCACCGCCGCCTCGTTGCAGGCAGCCCTCTGCTCCGCCCTCAAACTCCCCCATCCATTGCCCCTCCCCCTGCCTCACATGTCACCCACCCACCCCACTGCAGGCACATCCAAGCCCAGCAGCGACGGCACCTCTGCCTCTTTGCGTGCAGCCCTCTGCTCCTCCCTCACCCTTCAAGCTCTCCAGCGGGCAGCAGCAGCTGCCAGCACCACCAGCGCAAGCAGCAGCACCACCGGCAGCGCTGACAGCCACCCGTCATCTGCCCATGCATCGTCCGATGCGATGCTGAGGTCTGCGGCACCTGTGTGCCCGCAAGGGCGGGCCTGCTTGCTGCCTGGCGCGCTGGATGGGCTTAGGGGTGCACTACGCAGAGGAGGCAGAGGAGGCAGAGGAGGAGGAGAGGGCGCAGTGCGGCTCGCCGCCACCTCGGGAATCTTCCACATGGCACAGCAGGTGGGCTATGATGCTTGTTTGTATCACTCCTGAAGATTCTCAATCCAAGCAGTCTCAAATGCGATGCTGCCTGGTGCGCTGGATGGGCTGTGGGGAGGAGGCAGAGGAGGCAGAGGAGGGAGGGCGCAGTGCGGCTCCTCGCCTCCTCAGCACTTTTTGACCCTGTGCAACAGGTGGGCTGCTCTTGTGTTCCTTTATGCAATAGAAGATTGTTACCTAATCCTTCACCTTGGCTAGCCCCTTTCACCAAGCCTGCTATCAACAATAAAAAAAAAAAAAAAGATTTGAGAGATTTCAAGAATGATGCTGGCATGGAGGATGGTATGGGGGGTGGAGGCAGAGGAGAGGGAGCAGAGCAGGTCGTTGCGACCGCAGCTTCATTTGGCCGCGAGCACAACAATTGGGCCGGGGGTTAAAGCCAGCTGTGATGGGGTAAGAGGAGGTTCTCATGGGGGAAAGGCGTGTGCCTCTTGCACTTTGATATCCCCACGTAACTCCCAAAAATCTGCTGTTTCCTCAATGCGCCCTCATCCCCCCAACATTTGATCTCCTCCGCGATGTCTTTGCCACAATCTCACTGATATTCTCCTGCAATTTGCACCTTTGTCGCACTCCCCGTCATGAGCAGTTCGGCCTAATCCCTCGCAACAACTCCACCACAGTAACCACGGCAGCACCCACCGCAGCTCGCATCACGGCTCAACACTTGGCTCGGATAGCAGAGGAGACATGCGGCATTCCCCTGCAGGAAGTCTCCAAGAAGTTTCCGCTGATGAACGGCCAGGATGCGCCATACGCCTGTCTAGATGCGAGCTACCTCTTCCACCTCCTCACCTCGGGATTAGGTAATCTCGTCACCTCGGGATTAGGTAAAATATCCCCACCTCAGGTTTAGCGGATTTCCTACTTTTTCTCTTGCCATGTCTAGTGCGTCTTGCACTGTTGCACAATGCCGTACTTGCACTATTGCACAGGCTCACTCTTGCAGTGCTTCGCAATGGAACCCTCAAATGTTCTGACATACACAGAGCATGCACCGGCAGCATGCCGCCCCTTTGCATCCCGATTCTTACATCCTCCTTTCTCCCCTCACATCCCCACGTCTCAGGTCCCTCTTCCCGTATTCCCTTCCCAACATTCCGCCAGGCATGGAGCCCACAGACCCACTCACACCTGTGAAGCAGGCGGCTCACAATGCACCATCCACTGAGGCAGCATGGGCATGGCACTATGGTGCTGCTGTCAGCACAACCATGCATGCTCATGCCTACGCCGTGTTCTGATGTGAGTCGAATCAACAGGGAATGCTCAAGCCCTACGCCATGTTCTGAGTGAACTCCACATCTGAGTGAACTCCAGATCTGAGAGTTGACTCAACGGGTGCCTGTGAATGGCTGCGCTGTGCTTTGAGTCAACTGAACCCTAGATTCCAATGGTTGCAGCCAGGTTACCCTGTTACCGTATTGTGCACGCTCACTTGACTGACACCCACCCTGCTGTGTTCAGCAGCAGCCATTGCATGAGGCATGCTTGGTAGGAATTCTGTACAAAGAGCTTGCAGAGCAGATGCGATAAAGTACTGTACTTCGTTTAAGCAAGTTGATATGTACACAGCAAGTACTACACATAGTGTTGCTAACAGCCTTACAATAAGGGTAGGGTTATGTTCCCCCATGTAGCCCATACCTAGTTCGCAGCAATCACTGGCTAGCATTGAAAAGCGAAAACAGCTGCTCTGAACCTACGGTAAGATCCACAGCAGCAGACCATATGGTACGGTACTTTTAAGCTTTCCCCCTCACCTCACACAGTCCATGTTCATTTTAGGAGCGCCTCAATATGGAGCTTCAGAGCTGACTCGGAAACTGAAGACTCCTCCTGGAGGCTGCTGCCTGCAACGCACTGACTTTTGAGTCGACTCAGAAGTCAACTTCTGAACCCATGCACTCCCCAAGGTCCACACCATGCCCACACCTGGACTGTCCGCTTCCAGATTTCAGGACCCAAGAGTCATTCGTCAGGACCACACCAGGACTCTCCACTTCCAAAACCGCACTCCACACATCTCAACTCCTGCATGCTGCACAGCTCCATATGCATACCTCAGTAAAAGCCTGAAGCCTCACACCTGGATCAAGTTGAGAAGACCACTCCTCACTCCTGCCAGCTGCAGATCTAAATGCACACCTGACTAAACACCTGAAGCCCCAAAAGCCCGCACGACTGAGTAGGTGATTCCCATGGCCAGCCAGCCGCCCACAGTCGTCCTCAGTGCCGCCCGGGCCTGAGGTGCGCCGCCCAGCCACGCGCCGAGCGCGCCCAAAAAGACAAAGAGCGCGGAGGAGAATGCGATGAGTACAGTGATGCGCGTGTTGTAATCTGTAATGAAGCAGCCTGAGAGGAGGGGGAAGATCCCCCCTAGAAAGAAGGAGATGGCCGAAACCACTGCCGCCTGCATGGGTGGGTGGGTGGGTAGAGGGGGGGAGGGAGGCATGGGTAGTCCGGTTATATGGGGGAGAATGCGTCTGTAACGAATCAGCTAAGAAGCAGCTTTTGGGACCAAAAGAGGGGTGAGTGCCCAAGAGAAAAGATTGGACAGGCGAGACGAGAGCTGCTTGAAAGAGGAAGGGAGGGCATTGGGAGAGGGGAGCACGAGGCAAATAGGGACTAGAGCAGATCTTTATGATGGGCTCTCATGGTTTGATGATATCACCTGATTCAAATGCCATCATCCATCCGTTCCCCATCGATTCCCATTCATTCCCATCTATTCCCATGCAATGACCATCCATTTCCATCCAATAGGCATCCATTTCTATCCCTTAATATTCCCACACGTTAATATTTCCCTCCATTGATATCCAACTCCATCCTTTCCGTCCATTTTCACACATTCCCAAACATTTCCATCCATGCCCATTTTTCCAACTCTCACCTGCCCCGACACCTGCCCCGAGTCTCACCTGCCCCGGATCCGACAAGTCATCCAAGTCGATGCCCAGTTCCTCTCTCGCGTGCGCTCTTATAGGATCGTTCGCGTGCAGTGCCTCCGCCACCTGCCGCGCCAGATCGTACGGCACTCCGCGCGCCACGTAGATCTGCGTCAGCTCGCGCAACTCCCGCGCCACCGCCTCGGGCCCCTTCTCGAATTCTTCCCGCTCTTTTTTCAGATCCGCCTCCTCCGAGTCGCGCTGTCCGTATACCGAAATGTACTCTCCAATAGCCATGCTGCACGCCCCCGCTATAAGCCCGGACAGCCCCGATATAACCATCATCGTTCGGGAGGTGTCTACAGCGCCGACTCCGAGCATTAAGGAGGTAATGGAGACTAGGCCGTCGTTCGACCCGAGAAGCGCGGCGCGCAGCCATGGCGAGCGGTGCGAGTAGTGAGCGTGACCTATGGTTGAATCCGCGCCGCTTCCATGTGCGGCTGCGGAAAGAGCTGCGTTTCCTTGTTCTTGCCTGCCTCCAATATCGGAGCTCGGGTGACCGCCGCCGGCGTCGCCGGCGCCGTCTAGTAGCGCCGGTGCTGCTGACGAGCTCGCCGTTCCGATTTCCGGATCTTGCGGAGCAAGAAGTGGCTGCCTCATGGTTGATGGCGGTATGGCACGTGTCAGAGGACCACGCAGGAGACGGGATTTAGTAGTGGTGGAACTCGGCAAGTCGGTTCGCGAGGTGCGTGAAAAGAATTTACCGTTTCTAGTGAGCCTGGGTACATCAATCAGCTGACGCGTGTCCCTTGCGTGGAACTGTATCCGCTAAAATGTATTTCCTTACATGGTCTTGTTCTGTTGTGGTTTGTTACTATTACAGCTGTGCGTGTTGTTATGGTGTGTTATGAGTTGTAAAAGAGAGTGCGCAGGTAAACGAATAACGAGACTGTGATTAACTGATCTGAGAATACAATGAAGGCACAGACTAATGTAGGGGCTAGCCTAGCTAGGAGCAAACCTCAGACGAGTGAGGTTGGGGTGCAGGTTTGGCGATGGGAAATGCCGAAGGCGACGCGAGGAGCCTCGGCAGCTGTCAGAACTAGCAGTCAGAAACAAGAATGAAGAAAGGAGTGGTTGCACTAGCAAGCAGTTGAGTACATATAGGAAACCCTAAATTGGGCTGTACTCGCTATAGAGTACCCCACTGCAGGCTAGAAAAATACAACATTCTGACACACCCCCATAGCAAGCAAAGCTAGAGGCATTCACAACGGGCACGTGAGGAGGAAAAGGCTGGACTATGAGAGGAGAGGAGATGGGAGGCAACGGCTGAAGCTGCAGACACACGGGCAACAGGAGCGGCTGGAACAGTGGCTACCGGGACAGCGCCCCGGACTACAGGGAGTAACTGGCTCTGCGGCTAACTCTGAGCGGCAGAAGCAACGGACCCACGGGCGACAGGCGCAGCAGGCTCTCTGGGCTACCAGGACAGCGCCCCGGACTACAGGTGCTGCGGACGACAAGACGGCAGACTCCGCTCAACCTCCCCCAACTGTCCCACCCCCCATTCACACACCCCTTGCTGTACCCCTAGCTCCACTCCCACGTCACCCCCCTAGCACCACTCCTTCGGCTCCCACACACCCACCCCCCTCAGCGGCAGCTGCAGCAGTGGGAGACGGAGGAGGAGGAGGAGTAGGGGACGGCGCACACAACCGGCACCCCCACAACCGCCACCCCCATACCCTGGGTGTGCGGTAAGCGAGTTCAGGTGTGCGCGAAGCGAGCACAAGCGTGCGGGAAGCGAACTCGGGTGTGCGGAAAGCGAACTCAGGTGTGCGGGGAGGGGGGCCGCAAGGCGACGCGCGGGTCGACGGGGCCGCCGCGAAGGGCGACGGGGAGCCGCGCGCGAGTCGACGGGGCCGCCGCAAAGGGCGACGGGGAGCCGCGCACTGGTCGACGGGGCCGCCGCGAAGGGCGACGGGGAGCCGCGCGGGTCGACGGGGCCGCCGCGAAGGGCGACGGGGAGCCTCGCGCAGGTCGACGGGGACGGGCGCGCGGGTCGACGGGGCAGCGCGAGAGCCGACGGGGGGGCGCGCGCGGGTCCCCTGAGGCGACGCGAGGGTCGACGGGGGGGCGCGCCATGCAGAAAACCGCCGCGCGCCCCGGGGCACACGGCGGGCAGAAAACCGCCGCACGCCCCGAGCGCACGGCGGGATGAAAAACGCCGCGTGCTACGAGCGCGCGGCAGGAAGAAAGGGGCGCGCGACAGCAGTAGAGCAGCGGAAGCAACGGGTGGGGCCCACCCACAGGATCGACCCAGGAGGGTCGACCTGCTCTGATAGCATGTCAGAACTAGCAGTCAGAAACAAGAATGAAGAAAGGAGTGGTTGCACTAGCAAGCAGTTGAGTACATATAGGAAACCCTAAATTGGGCTGTACTCGCTATAGAGTACCCCACTGCAGGCTAGACAAATACAACATTCTGACAGCAGCGTTGAAATCGGCCGAACGTGCAAAGTCCGAAAATCGGGCTGTACGCGTAGCAGTCAACCCCGATAAGGAATTCGGGAAAATTCCTTACACTACCCCCCCCCTTAAGAAAGGCGGTCAATATCTGAAACACGCCGGCGCGCCAAATAATCACGAACAAGAGACGAGGCGTCGAGTGAGTCAGAATGCACCCACGTGTCATCTTCACTGGTGCGGTCAGTCCAACGGATGAGGAAATCCACGTGGCGACCAGCTGCGTCAAGGCGAACCCGATGTGCCAGAATCTTCGAAGGGTCGAGAGTCGGCTCCAGGACAGGTCGTGCAGTTGGGGCAGCTTGTTGCCGCGCGATGTCGGTCGTGGCTGGCACGAACTTGCGAAGCAGGCTGACGTGGAAGGCGTCATGAATTCGCCAGTCGTCGGGTAGCAGCTGCTTCGCGGTGACAGGTGTCACCATCTTGATAATCTTGAATGGCCCACAAAATCGTGGTCGTAGTTTTGACGGGCCGGGCAGGTGCAGGTTCTTCGTGTCAAGTAGCACTAATTGCCCAGTGGTCAAGACGAGTTCCCGGCGTAGAAGGTCGGTGTATTTGCGGGAAGTTATATTCGCCTTGCGAATTGCGTCTGCGGCTTTTTCGCGGGCTTCCTGTAGTTCCGTCACAAAAGTTTGTGACCTCGGTACTGGGTTGTCGAGGGAAGTCGCTGTAGGAACCGTCGGGTCCATCCCGTAATTCAGGAAAAAACGGGGAGTGGTTAGTCGTACTAGACGGTGCGTTGTTGAAGGCGAATTCCAACATGGCTAGAGATTCTTCCCAGCGGGCAGGGTCGGGGCAGTTTGTCCTGATCAGCTGCTCCATGG